GCTGGATTCTCTCACGGTTGTCGATGAAACAGTCACGCTCGAGTGAAAGCGGGGGTGTGACAGGCGAGTCCTCTTCATTGCACCACTGTGCTACTCCCCGGAACACACACACACACACACACACACACACACACACACACACACACACACACACACACACACACACACACGTATTGTACATGCTCCTGTTCTTTTTGTTAGGCGTTGTTCTCATAAACGATGGTCTGTCTATTGAAGCAGCCCCAACCTACACATTCGCAACACCCTCACCCACATTCACAGATATTCACGTCATGTCACACCCTCGTCGCACAGTTAAAACAAAGACAAGCGCAATGGGCACACGTGTGTGCTTCGCAGCAGCTGAAGAGGGAGAGGAGGAGGAGGAGGAGGCAAAAACATGCAAGCGGAAGGAAGGGGGGGGGGGAAACAGGAAAGGTGCAGAAGCGAATAGAGAAAACGAAGCAAACAAGCGATAGGACAAAGAGAAATGCCACGACGCAAACGACACAGCGTCAAAGAACACAAGACAAAACGACAACGTAAGCAAATAGCGTCATCATCATCATCATCATCATCATCATCATCAGAAGGCAAGACAGCCTGGCTCCTGGCGTACAAGGAAGGTGTTGCACCCGGCCAAGCGTTCAAGCACAATTCAATCATCAGCACGCAGCTACGAGCAGCATCGTGGGTGCAACCACCACTGCTGCCCAAACACGTCACTGACCTGGCCGTGTTGTTGGATTTCTTCCACCGCTGCACCACTCGGCACTACCATCACCTCGGCATGTGCGCGCCAGCGTGCGTGTGTCCAACGGCAGAGCGCCCAGCCTCCTTTGGAAGCGAAAGCGGCGAAAACACCAGTCCGTGCAACGGCTGTTGTTGCTGCTGCTGCTGCTGGTATTGCTGCTGTTGTTGTTGTTGCTGCTGGTGCTGGTATTGCTGCTGGTAGCTGTACTCACTCGTCTGCTGGACATGAATGCGCTCCTGCGTGTACTGGCACTGCTTTGTCGTGCTCGCTAGCGCGTGTGTCAGCGATGATGAAGACGATGACGGCGGCACGTCGCGCCCAGTGACGACGCGTTTCTGCTGCTCGTGGTACTGCACATTCAACGTGTCAATGGCGGTGACTGATGATGATGCTGGCGCTGCTGCAAGTGTCTTGGCTGATGGTGGTGGCGTGTGTCTGTAAAGCCTCTCCTGGCTCTTGGGCGAGTACCCAAGTGCCATCTGGATGTGTTCCGTGATGGGATATGGCGCAAGCCCCTCTCGCCGCGACGGGCCTTTGTAATACATGCGCTGCTCCGACGATCCGCCCTGGTGCTGATGCTGCTGGTCGTTGTGGTGATGGTGATGGTGCTCTTGCTGGTGCTGCTGTTTGTGGTTGTTGGTGTGCGCGGAGGATGCGTGCGTGTATGCGGGCGTGCCTGTGTTGGAGACGGTGTCGCCTGCAAACCCTGGCGAGCTGAACTGCGGCGACTGATCTGCGTTAGACACATAAACGCGGGAGCGGTACTGTCGCGATGACGCGGACGAGCGGGACATGGTGGATGGGGCTGCGTTGCTCATGACGCTGCGGACAGACGCTGTCGTGGCGGACGAGGCAGAAGAGGCCGTGCACGGTGTGCGCACGACAGCATGCGGCGGGGTGAACACCGATGCCATCGAGGTGTCGGTGGGCTGCGTGTCAAAGGCGGCCGACAGCGGAATCACGCCAGCACACTCCTCTGGTACTGAACTGCAGATGGAAACACCAGGCACGTCCCTGCACCGCTGCTGCTGCTGGTACTGAGCTGGTGCGTCTTGCGTGCGCTGTGCGTGAGCGTCGGTAGCATGAGACTGGTGTGTGTGCACTTGTGGTGCGTGGGTGGCGTAAGTCTGCTGCTGCTGCTGCTGCTGTTGAGTTGCAGCGTCGTTGAACGAGAATTGGGGCAACGACGACTGCTGCTGCTGTTGATACTGTTGTTGATGTCGGTGCTGTGCTGAGGACACTGCCACCGCGGCTGTTGCTTGCGCCTGGCCCGTCCCTGCCGGTGCCACCGACGCCATTGAGGTGGAGGCGGTGTTCGTCGACAACGGCGAAGCGTTGTGCGGTGTGACGAGCGCCGACTGTGGGAAGCGGAAGGGCAGGCGCGTCTGTGGCGTGTCAGCGGCAAACGAGGGCTGCCTGCCGAGTGCACGCGAGCGGGCGCGACTACCGGTGGTCGACGTCCGCTTGGGTTTCTTCGGGCCACGCGTAGGGCTCCCTTTCCCCTGCAGGGTGGAGTCATTCGTGTTGGGGAGTGACATTAGTGAGGGAGTTGTGTGAATGCGCGTGCGTATGGGTGTGAATGTGCGTGCGTGCTTGTGCGCGCGCATGTGTGTGAATGTGCGTGCGCGCGCGTGTGTGAATGAGGGGTATTCGTGTACCTCAGGCGAGTCTGGATGGAACAGGCTCTGTTTCTGGTTTCGTCTGTTCGTCTCTGTTCGGGTGCGAATCTTCACTTTGGACACTGAAAGACAGGCGGTCGTGATGTGGTGCAGCAGTGGTGGAATGCGGCACAGTGAGCGGGCAGATGTACCGCGCAACATAACCGATAGCGTCATCATCAACAGTCACCTGTTCGAGAAACAATGCAGACTCGCACAACCAATGCCCTTCAGACAGAAAGACAAATACACACAAACACAGGGCACCATGCACACACACGCACACATACACACCTGAGGCTGCCTGCAGGGACGAGAGGTCGATGCTTGACCAGCGAAACACGGCGCGTTTGTTGTCGTGGCGTGACGGAGGTTCACTGACTTTCGCAATCAGGTTCAGGCTCATCAAGATGTTGCTGATGTCATACAGGCGGCGGATTTTCGCTGTTGGAATAGGAATGCGTGCACACGCGCGCGTGTGTACAACAATGGGCGAATGAATGGGCGAATGAATGATTCAATAAATAAATCAAGCAAGCAAGCAAGCGAGCAATCAATCAATGTGTTTATGAATTAATGAGCGATGTGAACGAATCAATGCATGCAAACTCAGCAACAACAGGCAAACGAGCACAAGCATCGCCACCACCACCACCACCAACAGCACTGAACGCACTCTTGCTTCGCTTCTCCTCGGGGCAGCCTGGCCCAAAGATGAGTTTGTCTGCTGCCTCGTCCATGCTCACCATACCGTCCTGAGCACGAGAAGAGAGATAAGTGAAGAGAGACAAGAGCAGTGTTGATGAACGACAAGCTGAGACAAGAGACCAGGCGACAGTCCAGAAACACTGGAAGTATGCTGCAAGCTGATGCTTGCAAGAGAGAAGCAAACAGGCGCGACGACAAGAGGGCACGGTTACATTGGCGTGGGCGTACCGGTGCTCGCATGAAGAGCATGATGAACCGCTGTGCAAGAACACCCAGCGAACGCTCTTTCTTCGTCGCCTCGCTCTCTGCACACACAGACACCCACGTGTGCAAAACATGGCGTGCTGTGAGATGGGAAGAGGGCAACACGACATATGCACAGACACGGCAGTGGCTGCATTGGTTGTTTGCATTGCATGTGTATGTGCACGTGGGTGCGTGTAGAAGCAACACCACACACCTTGAAGCGGAGACTGTTGGACATATGATTGTGTGTGATTGATGACGCAGCGAGGCATCATGATGAGGGAGAACAGCACAATTGAGACGATGTTGTTATGCGCACATGTGATGGTATCGGGCAGACAACAACAGCAGCAGCAGCAACAGCAGCAGCAGCAGCAGCAACAGCAACAACAACAACAACAACAGCAACAGCAACAGCAACAGCAACAGCAACAACAACAACAACAACAACAACAACAACAACAGGTGGGGTGTTTCACCTGCTGTGGAGCGTCAAGCGTGTGAGATGGGCGAGTGGGGCTGTCGAGGTGGGTGATGGACAGCGCCTGTGGACAAAAGAGGCAGCGCAGCGCACGTTGAAAAGCGTGTGAGCTGAAGGGAAAGGCCGCACATACAACAACCAGAACAAGAACAGCAACCATAACAGCAACAATGAAATTAAACGAACAGCAAAGAGTCAGACGACACCGCGTGCTGACTGCTTTGCACGCGCACAGCCGAGACCTCATCACCGCACCTTGAGCTTTGCGAGCGTCCCGTTGATGTTGTCAAATCCTTTCCAAATGTATGTGTTCTTGCCCTTGCGCGTGACAAGTTCCAGCCCTTCAAACACATTCACCACGTCATAGATGCGACGCCGACCAACACCTAAACAGAAAGGAAGAGGAGGAGGAGGAGAGAGAGAGAGCGTATGGTTGCGTATGTGTTTGTGTATTTGTGTTGGGTGAATGTTGCAATGTATGTTCTGCTGCTGCTGCTTCTTCTTCTTCTTCTTCTTCTTCTTCTTCTTCTTTCTTCTTCTTCTTCTTCTTCTTCTTCATCATCATCATCACCACGTGTGATGTTGCAACGACCAAGAGAGGACGAGGGCATACCGAGTTGTCGTGCCACGGTGTCCAGGGCAATCTCAGCGCCAATGTCGCCTTTGCAAATGTCGCAGAACCTGGCAGCACGCCCACGTGAGTTGGCACAATTAGGCACACACAGACACACACGCGCGTGCGCAGACACTCTCGCGCACACGAGCACACAACAACAAACGCACAACAACACACAGACACCATCACACACGCGCATATGCACACGGACGGCACTCACTGCGTGGTGATGCTCATGAGGGTATTCCCCTTGCGCCCGCTGCCCTGCTGACAATCGCCAGTTGTTGGCGAATCATCTGTCTGAGGCGATGAAGACGACTGAAGGTTTGGTTTTGCGCGCGCAGGCGACGCCTGCAGCTCTTGCGCTGCCACCGCCGTCAGCGTGCGCAGTGCCTGAAAGGCCAAAACAAAGGGCTGGTCAGTGGCGCAAGTGATTGTGCACTGCAGCAGAAACAACAACAGCCGTTGTAGCAATCAACACGCACAATTTGCGCGCGTGTTGTCCCTCACCGCATCACCCCCACACTATCTCAATCGCTCAGGTGCACGCCCACACACACGCCCACACACACACCTACTCACCCACACACACACACACACACATGCACACATACACATACACACACACACACATGCACCTACCCACACACACACACACGCGCGCGCGCGCGCACCCACACCCACAGCTCCAACCTGCGCGCTCTTTTGTCGCTGTAGCGACTGCGTCTGGCGATCCTCCCTTGGGGGGCTGGCCAGCTGCGATAGGAGCTTGAGGTTGGCAAAGGGGCTGGCGTTGACGGCAGCGCCGCTTTCCGTCGTGCTCCGCGCATTGCGTGGCGGTGTACACGGAATGCCCGCAGGTGACGAAGAGCACGCAGCTTGACTCATCTCGGGAGGCAATAGAGGGAGTGAACACTGCTGCTGCTGCTGCTGCTGCAAAAACAAAGGCACAGGAGCACGCGTGCGTGCATGTGAGTGTGTGAGTGTGTGTGTGCGTGTGTGTGTGAGTTTCGTGGCAAATGGACAAGAGCTGCCCACTGCCAGTAGCATTGCTGGAGCGTGTGTTGTGTTGTCACACCACCGCGTGTCGATTGATGAGCACAGGAGCAAACGCGTGCGTGGCGTTGCGTGGCAGCGCTCACCTCGTGCTGCTGCTGCTGCGGATGATGGTGGTGGTTGTGTGACATGGCGATGGCGACGGCAATGGGGACGGGTTCAACAACGTGGAGGTGGCACTACTTGATCCTGCTGCGTTGTTGCTGCGTGCACATGCAATGCCAGGGGCATGGGGGCGCCAAAACAGCACAGGGCAAATACCGGATCGACAAGAGGGAGAAGGGTGTGTAGCGTCGGGTGAGTGGGAAAGAGGGATGACACAACACGCGTTTCTACTTCAGCACAGGGACTGAGGGTGAAAGTTGAAGAGGTGCATCGGCACAGAATGGCGATACACAACAAGACGCAGGAAAGATGGCGCGCCGTGACTGCCATGATCCCCCAGCAGCCACAAATTATAACGGTCAAATGTGGCGGCATTCAGCACAGAAAAGCCGTGCGACCGCTGATGGTGATGATGAACAGGAGCTCGACACAGCTGGCCATACCAAGCGGGCGAAGGGATGGAGTCGTGGGCCTCTTGCTCGCTCGAACCCACGGTTGAATGTCGAGCAGACACACACCAGCCAGTGCAGCCAGCCAAACCAAAGGAGCGCAAACGGCAATGGCAAGCAAGCGGGGAAGGAGGGGACAGTCAGGTGAACACGGTAAGTCGAGCAAGCTGGCTGCCCGGCGCGCCTTTGTTGTGTGTGTGTGTGTTGTGTGTGATGTGACAGTTGTGCGCCAAACCGCCTTTCGAGCGGTGCGCGGCAGAAGACTTGCGTTTGCAACGGCGCGCCGGCAACTTTTGCGTGCTTGCGCCCACTCAAATTATTTTGTCAGTAAATGAGAAGTTCGACCTTACATTCTTCTGTGATGTTTTCTAAAGCTTTTCGCTAATCGCTGTTGATTCTCATTGTCGAACATCAGCACTGCCGCATTACTGGATTTCTTTCGTCATTTTTCTCCGCCCTCAGGCTTTTGCCTTGTTGTCGCTCTCTCCAACACAAACGGACCACACTTTCCCAACACACCAAACCCACCAACCATGGTGAGCGGCGATATGAGAAGGAGAGAGACGGAGAGAGAACAAGTGTGCGTGTGTGTGTGTGTGTGTGTGTGTTGTTGCCTTGTAAGTTTTTCACGATGTACACACCACTCACGTACCACTGCGTGTGTGTGTGTGCGTGTGTGGCAGATTCGCTTCTTCTTGATTCAAAATCGGGCGGGCAAAACCCGTCTGGCAAAATGGTGCGTGCTTGATGTATGCTCTTGTGCCAGTGGTGGTTGTTTTGGTTGTTTGGTTTGCGGGTAGTGTGCCTGTTCTCTGGTGCTGCTGCCCTTGCTCACCTTTTCCACTCACCTTTTTTGGTCTCAGGTACATGCCTTTTGAGGACGATGAGAAGCAGAAGTTGATTGAGGAGGTGCACGCTCTTGTCTCCGTTCGTGGCTCCCAACACACAAACTTTGTCGAGGTGCGGTTGCGTGCGTCATGTGTGTGTGCGTGTGTGCGTGTGTGTGTGTGTGCTTTTGTGTGTGTGTGTGTGTGTGTGTGTGTGTCACTGTGTTTATTATGTGGTGTGGGATTGCGACGAAAGCACAGAGGTGCGGATGAGTGAAGAAAGCGTCTGTGGTGCCCCGTCACTTCTTCACTGTCACTTGTCACGCTCACTCCAGCTGGTACCCCCTTCACGTGCTGTCTTTTCTTGTGTCTTTTGCAGTTTCGCACATTCAAGATTGTGTACAGACGATATGCCGGCCTGTTCTTCTGCTTGTGCGTGGACATCAACGACAACAACCTTGCGTACATGGAGGCCATCCACAACTTTGTCGAGGTGCGCAGAGACACCCTTTGTGTGTGTGTGTGCACTGGCGCTTTGTAGTTTTGTTTGTTTGGTGTTCGTGTGTGTGTTTCGTGTGTGTGTGTGTGCGTGTGTGCCGTTTGCATTGCACGCACATGCCTGCCTTTCTCTTCTCTGACTCAAACTTGTCGGTTGTGCTTGTGGCTGGCAGATTCTCAACCAGTTTTTCACAAACGTGTGCGAGCTGGATCTCCTGTTCAACTTTTACAAAGTGTATGCGTTGGTGGACGAGATGTTCTTAGCGGGTGAAATCCAAGAAACCAGCCCCGCAAAGGTAGGACACATGTGCGCGTTGCCTCGCTTTGGCTCTGCCCCCCTCCCCCTCTTCTTCTCTTCTGCTCGCCGTTTCCTTTACTTCTCTTCCGCTACTCCCACTCGATGTTTCCTTATGTTTTGCAACTCGCCCTCGGATCTCCTTCCTCCCTCCTCCCTCCTCCCTCCTCCCTCCTCCCTCCTCCCTCCCCCCTCTTTTGCCTTCTGCACCCTCCCCACGTCCCTTGCTTCCTTCCTTGTCCACCAACAACCGCAGGATAAGCCGGTTGCTTTGATGTTGCACTGATTATGCAACGGTAGCCCCTGCGAACACGAACATGCACACTTTTTATGTCTGATGACTGAACTCGACTTGCCACCCTCTCATGGGCGGCATTCTCCCATTCAGCCATCCTAGTGGTGTGCGAAACCTTCCTTTCAAACCTTTTGCACCTTTCCCCTCTTGTTGATCTCATACCTCCTGCTTTCGTGTTAACATCTTCTTCGTCGTTACGCTTTGTCCTGTGCAAGCGCACACACTCACTCTCACTCACTCACGTACTCACACTCAACGCACGCACACACACACACACACACACAATGACCCACTCGTCCCCCTCACCCACTTCGCCCGCCCTTTTTTCTGAACAGGTGTTGAAACGGCTGGAGATCCTCACCACCATGGATTGATCAAGCCATGCCGCATTTGTTGCGGGCACGACGTGTTGTGCTGTCATCAAGCGTCCCCGGCTTCTGTTCTCATAGTTTGATCCACCGTTTGCTGCTGTTACCCCGTGCGCTGATCCTTACCGCCGATGGCTGATGACATCATGTGCATCACAAAGCCAACCCATTCCGCGACACCTCTCCTCCTCTCTTCCGTTCTCCCCTCCCCTCCTTTTTAACTCTGTTTTCCCTCTTTGACTGTCGTTTACTTGCTTGTGTGTACATATGGCAGCAAGGTGCGCACAATCGCTGTTTGCGCCTTGCGTCCTCCTCCTTCTGATCTGTATAAAAGTACATGATCCCAATATGGCAAGGTGACGCATCCAAACGAGCTTGCAACGTGTTTGTGCCGGTGTTGGTGGTGTCTGGTGTCAGCAGTGGCACGGTCTGTCACACACACACACACTCTCTCTCTCACAAACAACACACACGCACACACGCACGCACAATGTGTGTCAGCATCGGTATTGGCGGAGGATGTGGGTGTGGAGACGTGGAACGATGAGCAGTTGTACAAGTGCGACAAGCACAAGAATGGTCGGTATCAGCCACACCACAGACGTTGGAACCAGCCCAAACACAACGTTCTCCTCAACGACAAGCGTGAACCGTAGCACTGGCTCCCCATCTCTCTGATGTCGGTACATGGGCACACTGGCGTACTCTCCGGTGACGCACAGAGTGCTGCAGCCACCGGCGCCCGGTGAGATGGGCGCTCCCTTCACATCTGTTCTAAAGATGATCTTGCTCGTGTCGAGCAGCTGCCGTCGTTGTTGCTGTTGTTGCTGTTGTCGCTGTTGTCGTTGTTGCTGTTGTTGTTGGAGCCGTTGAACACGCCTGGAGCCGGTGTGATCCACAACAGCCGTGTCATCGCCTTGGTCGGCGAGAACAACCCCAAGTGAAGCAGGCTCGGGGGAAAAGCTGTCGTGCTCCTCGGCATCCTTGCCACAGGCGAAGGTGAGTGTAAACAGGGACGGCACCACACCAACATACGACACGCGCGCCTCATAGCTGGTGGCGGGCCTCAGCCCAGCAACGTCAAAGCACACCGTCTTCCCAGACAGCACCGCGCCGTGCCTCGGCCGATCTCCCACCCGCAACGCGCCTGCCGTCGCAGTGGCCGTGGCTGCTGCGACAACAACTGCGACGACAACGAGGAGCAGAGCGCATCCTGTCACCATCGTCTGGTGGTGTGAAACGCGTCAGGCAGGATTTTGCAGTTCCAGTGAAGGGTGTTTTGAGTGGACTTGAGAAGGACCATTCTCTGCTGCTCTGTGGTTCGTCTCGGCTCGTCTTCGCTGTGTGTGATTGTGCATTGATTGGCAGCGATGGTGGCACACCTGGACCCGCGGGTGCAGCCGCAAGAGCACAGCAACACGATTCGTGTCTTTGTCTCATCCACGTTCACAGGTTGGCTGTGCTGTGTGTGTGTGTGTGTGTGTGTGTGTGTCTGTGTGTGTCTGTGTCTGTGTGTGTGTCTGTGTGTCTGTGTCTGTGTGTGTGTGTGTGTGTGTGTGTGCCTGTGCTGTGTTGCGTGTGTGTGTGTGTGTGTGCTGTGTTGTGTGTGAGTTTGTGGTTTGTCATCGTGGTCACGTCGCCATCACATCATATCCAGACCCGCCTCATCCCCTTCCGCAAACGCACACAACCACACACACGCACACACGCCTTCATGCACACGCACATCTACAGACTTTGCTGTGGAGAGAGATGCGCTGCTGGAACGCAGCGTGCCTGTGCTGAGGCAGAGAGCACGGGAGCATGGATTGGAGTTCAGTTTGTCCACACTCCGATGGGGCATCTCCCAGCACGTGTCCGAAACGCACGACACCGTGGACGTCTGCTTGCGAGAGGTCTCCACCATCGTCCGGGAGTCTGCCGGCGTATGCTTCCTCGTACGTTGCTTGGACAGGCTTGTGTTGTGTGCGTGTGTTTGTTTGTGTGTGTGTGTGTGTGTGTGTGTGTGTGTGTGTGTGTGTGTGTGTGTGTGTGTGCGCACGTGTTTGTGTGTGTGTGTGTGTGTGTGTGTGTGTGTGTGTGTGTGCATGTGTGCGTGTGTGCGCATGTGTGTACATGTGTAGTCACATGCGTGTCTCCTTGTCTGTATGCTGGTCATCTTGCCCCTGCGTTGCTCATGCAAAGTGTATGTTCAACTACCAACACTTACCCTCCCCGCTCCCACACACACACACAAACACAGGGCATGCTGGGCGACAAGTATGGATGGACACCGGCGCCGCTGGAGATGTCTGCAGCCATGTTCCAGCTCCTTGACCAGCATGCATCTGCAGAGACCAAGACCATCCTCAACCGCTGGTACAAGCAAGATTTCAATGACATTGGGCACAAGTACGAGCTCCTGCAGTTCCGCGACGACGACACAGCAGAGCAGGTCAGGCAAGGCAGTCAGTGGGTCGGACGTTCCGCTCGTGCACACACACACACGCACACACACACACACACCACACACAAAAACACACACACACACACAACACAACACAACACAACACACACATACACACAACACAACACAACACAACACAACACAACACACACACACATTCACATGCAAAACGCAGTGAAGCATGCCGCTGTTAAATGTCAGGGCCCCCCTCTCTGCCCGTCCAACTCACATTGCTTGCTCCCGCCCTGGCTGCAGTGGTCACGCGATGGGCCTCGCATCTCTGCTGCGCTTGCAGATATTGCCTCCACGTGCGATCTCCCTTCGCTGGATCCCCAACTGCGGCAGGAGCTCCAGGACTCGTTCATGTCAGGTGCGGTGCATTGTCTGTGTGTGTGAGTCTGTCTGTCTGTCTGTGTGCCTGTCTGTCTGTGTGCCTGTCTGTCTGCATGTATGTATGTATGTATATATGTATGTATGTATGTATGTATGTATGTATGTATGTATGTATGTATGTATGTATGTATGTATGTATGTATGTGTGTGTGTATGTATGTATGTATGTATGTATGTATGTATGTATGTATGTATGTATGTATGTATGTATGTGTCTGTCTGTATGTATGTATGTGTGTATGTATGTTTTGTATGTATGTATGTGTGTATGTATGTTTTGTATGTATGTGTCTGTGTGTGATTCCACGCCCTCCATCTTACACTCTCCCTCACCCCTGATACGCAATATCCAGTGACGGAACGGGAGTTTCGGCAGGCGGAGAGAGACGACACGCGCTTTGGTGACCGCGCCATGCTGCTGCTTCGAACCATCACCGACCTGGCACCACCAGCATCATCGTCGTCGTCGTCGTCGTCGCAGCATTGTGGTGTTGGTGCTGGCGATGCAATGCGTGCCCGCTACCTCGACGCACCACCATCATCATCTTCTTCAGGCAGCAGTGACGGCACTGCGTTGAACACACGCGCACGCCAGCGTCTCACGGCCCTGCGAGACGAGATGGAACAGAAGGTGAAGGCGGTGTACAAGCAGTCGCTCGCATGGGTGGCGAACAAAGGCATTGATCAGAACGACCCAGCACACCGGGCGTACCTTGCCGAATTCTGCGCGGCATTTGAGGCGTTTGTGACTGCATCCATCACTCGCGTTGCCAGCGAGCAGCAGCAATTACAACTGCAACAGCTGCAGCAACAGCAAGGGCAGTCGGGTGCCGTGCCGCTGCTGCCTCCGCTTGTACTGAGCGAGCTCCACCACCACCAGCGCATGTTTGCCAGCAAGGGGTCGACCCACATCGGCCGGGAGAAGCTGGTGGCACAGCTTGTCGCACACGCATACGCGGCCATCCGAGGTGGTGATGACAGTGATGGTGATGGTGACAGCGCGACACAAGTGCAGGAAGACGCCACAGCTAGCGGCAGCAGCAGCAGTGGCGGTGGCGGTGATGGCGATGGTGTCGAGAAGGCGACGTGCTGGCCGCTGGTGCTTCACGGTGTCTCGGGTGCAGGCAAGACATCGCTCATGTGCGCTGCAACACAGCAGCTGTGGTCGAAGCTCGGGTGCACGCAACCGCCCGCGCTCAACCCCGATGTCGTGATGGATGCTGGCAGCAGCACCACCACCACAAGCGCACCCGACACTCAACAGCAAGACGAACAGCAACAGCACCAACAACAACAGCAGCAGCAGCAGCAGCAACAACAAAGACAGGCTGCTGGACGCGATGAGCCGCTTCTATTGTATCGCCTGCTGGGCACGAGCCCCATGTCGAGCTCCGTGCGCCTCCTCCTGCACGGCTTGGTGGACCAGCTGACCGCAGCCACTCAACCTGACGCTGATGCTGATGCTGGTCATGGTCATGGTGATGGTGACATCGGCACTGCTGATGATGATCACGCCATGCGCGACGCCTCGTCCACGTCCACAGTGCCAAAGACAGAGCCATCACCATCGTCCTCATCGTCAGCGCTGAGCCTGCGCGATGTGGTGTCTGCGTTTCACGCGGCGCTGGTGGCAGCGGCTGCCGTGCGCCCCGTGGTGGTTGTCCTGGACTCGCTTGACCAGCTCTCGTCTGTCGATGCAACCCCGTCTGTCGTGGCGAGCCTCTTTCCCCGCCCGCTGCCGCCAAACGTCGCTGTGCTCGTCTCCGTCATCACAGACACGCCCGTGTTCTCCGAGTTGCGGCGCAGCTTTCCAAAGGACGCATCCTTCGTCCCCGTGTCCACCATCGACAGGGACCTGACACACGCCATCATCACACAGCAGCTGCGACGTGGTGGGCGTTGTCTTGCTGACGACCAGATGCAGGGTGTTCTCGCTGCGTGTGCTGCCTGCCCAACACCGCTGTACGCACGTGTTGTGTGCATGCGCGCGTTTGCGTGGCGGTCGTTTGACAGTCTGGAGACGACAGCGCAGACGCTGCCGCCAACGTGTGCAACACTGATCCAGCACGTGTTGGAGGACCTGGAGGCGCGTTTTGGGGTGGACTTGGTACGGGCTGCCCTGGCCTTTGTCACCTGCGCTAAACGCGGCCTGTCCTCGGATGAGTTGGAGGACGTTTTGTCCTGTGATGACACCGTTTTAAACGCGGTGTTTGCGCACTGGACACCGCCCATTCGCCGCATCCCTCCGCTGCTCTGGGCGCGCATCCACCGCGAGCTCAAGGACGTCATGGTGTGTATTTGGTGTGTGTGTGTGTACTTTGTGTCTGTGTGTGTGTGTATTTTGTGTCTGTGTGTGTGTGTAGTTTGTGTGTGTGTGTGTTGTGTCTGTCTGCCTGTGCGTGTGTGTGTGTGTCTGTGTCTGTGTCTGTGTCTGTGTGTGTGTGTCTGTGTGTGTGTGTGTGTGTGTGTGCGTGCGTGCGTGTATTCTGCGTGCAAGTGCCGGCCATTGACTTCCAATTGCTTTGTCCTTGCTCATTCACACCCACGCGCCCACGCACGCTCTCTCCATTGACACCCCACCCTGTGTCTCTTCCCTCGATATCACATTGCAGGTGACGCGCAGTGCGCCCGGCGGTGTTGTGCACGCGTGGTACCACCGCTCCTTCGTCGAGGCGTGCCACGAGCGCTACCTCGCCACGCCAGACCTCCAGCACCGCTTCCACGGTCTCCTTGCAGACTATTTCATTGGCAAGTGGACGCACGCTGCCAAGGCGTACCTGACACCAGAGGGCGAGCCACGCGAGGCTGTTCGATTCGTTGCCCCGCAACCGCTCTACTTCACACCCGGTGACGACAGTGGCAGCAGCCACGACGGCCGTGCTGATGGTGGTCGTGATGACGCTGCTACTGCTGCTGCTGCTGTTGTCGATGGTGTCGCCAACGCGCGAAAGTTGGACGAGCTTCCCTTTCATCTGCACAGCGCGCAGCGCTGGTCAGACCTCGGTGCGTGTGCACGTGTTGGTGTGTGTGTTTGTGCGTGTGTGTGTGTGGGGGTGGGTGGGTGCGTCAGTCTGTCAGTGTGTGTGTGTGTGTCTATCTATGTGGGTTCAGCCTGTCGTCGTTTTCCTGTGTCCTGATGTGTATGGGTTCACATGCGACAGCTCGTGATATGCACGCATCTCATTTCGCCCCACGCCTCTTCGTCTGAACATTTACCGGTTCCCTTTCCCATGTGCAGTGCGCGTGTGTGCAAGCAACTACCACTGGCTGCGTGCAAAATGCGTCGAGTTTGACATTTTCGAGACAATTGACGACATTGAGTGTGCGGAAACGAATGTGAGCGACGTGCACACATCCTCGCAGTTGCTGCGGCTTCGGCAACTGCTTCTTCTCTCTGCACATGTCCTCGCGCACACCCCAGACGCCCTGCCAGCCCAGCTCCTCGCGCGATGCAGTCAGTACTCGCAACCATCCTTGGGTCTCTCTCTGTCTCTGTGTGTGCGTGTTTGTTTGTTTGTTTGTTTGTTTGTTTGTTTGTTTGTTTGTTTGTTTGTTTGTTTGTTTGTTTGTTTGTTTGTTTGTTTGTTGTTTGTTTCAGATCGCGAGCAAACATCTCTGCAGATGGTTTGCCCATCATCTCACTGGTTGCCTCGCAACATCGCAACCAACGCCCACCTTCTCGCCCCAGCCGTGGATACGCTGATTGACGCGCCGCTGCTGCAGACCATCTGCCAGGCCGCCTGGTCCGATCAAACCGCCCTCGTCCTCCCCGCAACACCATGCCTCGACGCTCCAGGCGGTACGCTCAGGGGAGATTGTAGCTGTGGCTGCGCGCGCGCGCGTGTGTGTGTGTGTCTGTGTCTGTGTGTGTGTGTGTGTGTGTGTGTGTGTGTGTGTGTGTGTGTCTGTGTGTGTGTGTGTGTGTGTGTGTGTGTGTGTGTGTGTCTGCCTGTCTGCCTGCCTGTCTGCCTGTCTGCCTGCCTGGTGTCTGCCTGTCTACGTGCATACGTATTGACACACACACACACACACACACACACACACATTGCACCGATCTGTGTCGGTTAACACATGCTCACGTTCTTGCCCTGCGCGTTCCTCCCCCCCCCCGCCAACAACAACATGCCGCCGTCACCAGGCCCGCTGCTCCGTTCCTTTGCTGGCCATGCTGATCGCGTGACCAAGGCCGTGTTCGTCGGCACCACCCGCCCGCTCATCCTCACAGCCTCCAGGTTCGGTAGCCAGTGGTGACGCCACGACACCACGCCCAGCTGCACGTGCATATGACATATGAATGCACTGCACCATGCACCACGTGCGTGTGAGCACACATGTCCATCACATCTTCGTGCACACACGTTTCACACGCTGGCTCTCTCGCACACACTTAAACATACATATGTTCATGTGCATGCACACACCAGTGACCAGACGGCGAAGGTGTGGGACCCCAAAGACGGGTCTGTTGTGCGGACGTTTGGTGGTTTCAACTGCACGGTGAGCGACGTGACGGTGAATGCGCGCGAGGATCTTCTCGCAGCGGCGGGGGACGATGTTCGCCTCTTCGACTTCAACACTGGCGCCCCAATCGCAACGCTCAACTGTCAGTTTGGACGTGATCACTTCGTGTGCGTGTGATGATGATGGTGGTGGTGGTGGTGGTGATGGTGGTGGTGGTGATGTTGCTGATGACGTCTGGTGTCATGCGTCGTGGCAATTGGATTGGTGAAACAGGCGTTGTGCAACTGGTTCACATAAACACACACACACATGCACTCGCACACTCACACACTCACATTGACACACACACACTCTCTCTCTCTCACTCGCACCCACTCGCCAGGCGACAAAGGGCGTGCGAGCCGCGTGCGCTTTGTGCAGCAGGACACGAAGCTGCTGTGTCTCGCTCGCAACGGCATCCACATGTATGATGTTGAGACGCACAATCTCGAACGGCAGTTCCAAGTCACGAAGATGGACAAGACGCGCGCCATCCACTTGGACGGGTGCAGAGATATGGACGTGAACCACGCCAACACGGAGCTACTCGTTGCGTACAACGACAACTGCGCGCGCATCTGGTCCTTGAACACAGCGGTGGTGCTGTGCTCGCTGCCACACCCGTGCCCCGTTGTCTCATGCACATACACGCGCGGGGACGAGGTGGTGGCAACAGGTGGTGACGACCGAAACCTGCGCATCTGGCGCCTTGTCGACAAGGCGGAGATGGCATGGGAGTGCATGCAGTCGTTCCGACCAGCGGGGTCATCGCCAATTCACGACATCACGCCGCTGCCTGGCGATGCGCTTCGCCTCGTTGTCGCCACCTGGGACGTCAACATCAAGGTGGACTTGCGCGCGCGTTGTGTGTGTATGTGTGTGTGATTGTTGTTGTTGTTTAAGTTGATGTTGTTGTTGTTGTTGTTGTTTAAGTTGTTTAAGTTGATGTTGTTGTTGTTGTTTAAGTTGTTTAAGTTGATGTTGTTGTTGTTGTTGTTGTTGTTGTTTAAGTTGTTGTTTAAGTTGTTGTTGTTGTTGTTTAAGTTGTTGTTGTTGTTGTTGTTTGTGTTGTTGTGTGTGAATATGCAGTTCACCATGCCGTTCTATGCGTGGTGTATGTGTGTTTGTGCACATGATGCTAACGCAGGCCTCCACGGCTGGTTTTTACAGATCTTCCACGTGAAGAAAGACCTGAGCAGCTTCTCTGAGATTGGAGACTTCCACGCGCACACAGACTGGATCAACAGCGCAAAGCCCTCAGCTGACGGTCACGTGTGTATACAAACACTTGTTCTTCTCTTGTTGAGGCGTGTGCTCTCGTTGACTGCCGTTGCTGTTGCCTCGCTGTCAATTTTGGTTGACTCTCTTTTGAGCTCAAGGTTGCCTCCACACTCACACAAGCACGCAATCACGCACAACATTCGACACACGACAGTATCTGCTGACGGCGGGCGACGATCGGCTTGTTCATCTGTGGAATCTCAACATGGCACTGCAAGCACGAACCAGCACGCAGCGATCGCATGAGAGCAATGGTGAGGGCCGGCAGGAGCAAAGCAAGGAAGGAGAAGGTGAGAAGCCATCAGCATCGCCCCCGCCAACCACGGCAGCCACACTGCAGTTCCACGAGCGAGAGGTGGTTGGCATTGCGAGCCACCCAACGCTGCCGCTGTTCTTCACAGCATCACGCGACAAGACCGCTGCAGTGTGGGAGGTGATTCCACTCAAGACGGTGCCGGCACTCGCAGGACCAAGCGCCGCCGATACAGCAGCAACGACGGCAGACGCAAACGCGAGCACGGACGAGAGCGGGACAGGAGAATCGGCGAGACCAACTCCAACGCACGATGACAGCGGCAAGGCGTTGGACGAGGCATCAGCAGCGATGGAAGGAGCGAGCGTGGACGCTGACGCGGGAAGCACGTCGTCACCCGCAGTAGAGGAGTGGCAGAGGCTCGTGTTTGGCCGATGCGGCATGCTGAACAGCGGACGTGTGTCGTGTTTGATTGCCACCCCACCCACGCGCAGCGCACACCGCGACAACGTCGGCGATAACGGTGGTGACGATCAAACACAGCACGGGAGTCACGCTCAAGGCCAGCGGGAGCGGGTGTTGCCTGAGGTGCGGCACATGTGCACACTCTCCAACGACAGCAAAGACTGGGTGACGAGCGTGGCCGTGATGAACAAGGCGCCTGCTGTCATCTTCGGCACCGAGAACAAGACGCTTCGTTTCCACCGCTGGACGCAGCTGCCGACACACGCGGACGACGCCGCCAGCGGAGACGAGTGCGAACTTGTGTCGCACGTGATTGACAGCACGTCTGTGTATCCGCAGGTACAGACGGTCGTGGTGCCAAACCGTGTGTCCGCTGTCGCCGTCTCGTCAGATGACGCACATGTGTTTGTGGCGGACCAGCGGGGCAGCCTGCACCTGTATGATGCGAGCGGTGTGCACGTGGTGAAGTTCAAGCACATTGACGAGCGCGTGACGCGCTTGGCTGTGCGTGGTGACTTTATTGTTGCCGGTTCCTCAGACAAGTGTGTGCTGGTGCTGCACTGGGAGGCAAGCACACAGACGCTGCGCGTTGTGCGCAAGTTTGAGGGCCACAGGGATGCTGTGGTTGGCGTGTGCTTCCTCGATGGTTCACACGTGGCGAGCTGCTCCTACGACCGCTCGTGTCGCGTGTGGGACTGCAAGGACAGCGAGAAGATGACTGTTGTGCGCGGACACGATGATGCTGTACTGGCTGTTGCCGCCTCTCCCACGGGTCACGTCTTTGCCACAGCCGGACGCGAAGGGCGCGTCATCGTACGTTGCTTGTTTGTTTGCTTGTTTGTTTGTTTGCTTGTTTGTTTGTTTGTTTGTTTGTTTGTGTGTTTGTGTGTTTGTTTGTTTGTTTGTTTGTTTGTTTGTTTGTTTGTTTGCGTTGTTCATGTGAGAACACTGCTCTTGACATACCCACTCCCCTTCCTTTCTCTTTGTCGCTCCCGCTTCTCTCACACCGCCACCATACTGCTGCTGCTGTTGCTGCTGTTGTCTGTCTGCCACGCTCTCCCCCGCATCAGGTGCGCGCGTTCCCTGCGTGCTGCAGGATTGCTTCATTTGACGCCGGCTCCCAAGTCATGTCGCTCTCTTTCCTCAGGCAGCCCATGCCAACCTTCATCTACGGTACGTCGTGCTGAGTCTGTGTGTGTGTATGTATGTGCATGTGTGTCTGTCTGTATGCATGCCTGTATGCGTGTCTGTCTGTGTGTGTGAGAGAGTGTGTGTCTGTGTGTCTATCTCTTGCTGTCTGTGTCTCTGTGTGTGCTTCTTGATTCTCTCACAACCACCTTTGTGGACGCGTGACATCTCACCAACGTGTGCTCGACTGAAACTACCTCCGCAACCGCTACCGCCACCGCTGCCCAGGGACGTACGGCGGGCGATGCGGTGTGCTTGAGCTTCTGCTTGCAGACGCGTCCGGTGCGAGTGAGGAGAGTGTACAGGCAGACATGGCTGCGCTGCTGCACCCGCTCACGCAGGAGGAATACCAACACGCACAGTCAGTCACGATGCCCTGTGCTGCTTGTGTGTGTGTGTGTGTGTGTGTGTGTGTGTATGTGTGTGTGTGTGTGTGTGTCTGCCTGTCTGTCTGTCTGTGTGTTGCTTCAGAGGAGCAGAAATACTGTGGTCTTCGTGCATAATCTAGGAGTATGCAACAACCACTCACGGCATTTATCTCCCTCGCCTTTCTCCCCCTCCCCCGCCATCACCTCCCTCACGGCCAGACGGGAGCGAGCGCAGCTGCTGTGCGGGTGGTTCCACAAGCAGGGCGAAGGCAACCGCAGTCGCAAGCGCCGCTTCATCACGCGCAAGGGACGTGTGCTTGAGTACTACAAACCCGTTGGGGGCAAGCCGCACCACTTCAGAGGATACATTGACCTCGACGAGGCCACAGCCGTGGAGTGCCGGGGCGATCTTCTCATCATCGTGAGTTGTGACGCGTGTACACGTGGCTGGTGGAAAGGAACATCATGAACCATGTTGTGTTGTAGTTGTAGTTGTTGTTGTTGTTGTTGTTGTTGTTGTTGTTGTTGTTGTTGTTGTTGTTTGTGACTTTTGTTGTGGTATGGTACCCAAGGTTCATTGGATTTCAATGCCAGCTGACCCAACCAACGCTCACTGCCGCACACACACACATGCACGCACACGCACGCACACACACACACACACACATATGCACACATGCATGCACACACACCCACATGCACGCATGCAACCAATGTGTCCACAGCACACTCCACATCGGGAATGGAATCTGCAAGAGGAAGAGAAAGGCATGGCGGCAGAGTGGGCGGCGTTGTTGCAACCGTACCTGCGCAATCAATCATCATCAGCTTGATGCCACACGTGTGCAACCAATTCCTCAATGCTGCGACTGTGCACACTTTCAGTTGTGGTTTGTTTTCCACTTTTGCTTGCTGCTTCTGCTGCTCGTTGTTCTTGTGTTTCATCCTGCTTTGCTTCCTGTTGGCTTGAATGGCTTTCGTTTTGTTTGTTTCGCTCACGATGCTGCGACGGTGTGATGTTCTGATGATGTGCAAATGATGTGTGTTGTGGGGCGGCTGAAAATACAAAAATTGAGAGCGCATATGAGCCACATGCAAGACACCGAGAGGGACACAACTGACTTAACCGAGAACACATTTGTTCATGCCACCATTGCAAACAACCGAGCAAGCGACCATCAGAAAGTAAATGAAGGCGTGTCTGCTGCTCGATGGTGCAGGCACACGCATGAAACGTCAAAAGAAGCCCACGCAAACATCCAATCAAATCACAGTCGAGCACAATTGAAAAGCACGCAGCCACAACCAATCACGTGCAGCCACTGTCAGTCACGTGCACCCGAGCGCGCGCATCACTCGTCTGTGATGGAGCAGAATGCGTGAAAGAGGCGATCCGAGTTGACGTCCGTGATGAGCCAGCAGTTGCGCACGCACTTTGTCATGTCCTCAAGGTCAGCAATGGACTGTGAACGCGTCTTGGCACCGGCGAGCTCAACCTCAACGTAGTGCAGCTGCGCACCCTTCTCCGTCACTGGCGATCGCGTGGTGGTGGTGGTGGTGGTGGTGGTGGTGGTGGTGGTGGTGGTGGTGGGCAGCAGGGTGAGCTGGAAGAAGGTGTGTTTCGGGGAGAGGGATGGGGCTGCAGAAAGCGGTTTGGTTGTGCTCAACATGCACGTACACACATGCAAACACACACATACACACACACGCACGCACGCACCGATATCAGGGTAGAGGCAAACTGCGGCGGCGAGTGGATCTGCAGGGACAAACGGCCATCCCTCCCGCTCGCACAGCTGCCGGAATTGAGGTGTGATGGTTGAAGGTGAGGTGGGGCGTGCATTGTGTGTGTGCGTATGTGTGTGCGTGATTGTGTGTGTGATTGTGTGTGCGTGATTGTGTGTGTGATTGTGTGTGTGACAAACATATGGGTCTGCAATATGGAATGAAGCGTCAACCATGTAACGGAAGTACGTACAGCGCGGGTGTGGTGCATGATCTTGGTGATGAAGGCTGCCTTCTTGGTTGGCTTGTCGCGCCAGGCATGCACGCGATCCCACGGCAGCGCGTGGTCCAGGCACGCCTCCCACGTCACTGTGAGTTGTGTGTTTCGTTGGTTGTGTGTGTGTGCGTATGTGTGTGTGTGTGTGTGAGTGCAAGGCGGTATCGATTGACGTGAGTTCGTGAACGTGCACTTGAACGTATACGCACATGCGTGTGCGAGCATACTCGTGCCCAAGTGCACACGATGCCTGCCCATGTGACCACACACCGAGGACGGGACGCATGAACGCGCGCATGCAGATGTCGAGTGCCTCCGGGTCGGCGTGGGCATTGAACTCAGATGACGCGTTGTACGGCACATTGCCGCTGCATGCAATGCAGGAAATGGGAGTGGGGAGAGGAGATAGACTTGCTGGTGAGTGTTCAAGTCTACACTGATGCAATACAGCGTACCACCGCGAGAACATACAAACCTGTCAATGGAATGTGTGCATTCCTTTGATCACCCATAGACACACACACGCACGCACATACACACACGCACACACATGCACCCACCGTGCGCGGTACGTGCCGCCCATGATGAAAAGATGCTTGACGGTGGCCGGGAACTCGACGTTGAGCCGCGCGGCAATGGCGAGGTTGGTCAGTGGCCCCAGCGCAAGCACTTCAACCGTTGGGTAGCACTCGCCGTGGCCTGGTCGTGGTCGTGGTCGTGGCAGGGACATTTGGGGGGGGGGGGGGTTGTTGGGGTGGGTGGTGACGATAACAGTGAGCGAGACAGATGCAGATTGATGAATGCCTCATGCCAATTGAGCAACACTGCACACTTTTGCGCGGACAGAAACAACCAACAACCAACCATACACACTCTGTGCACGCACACACGCACACACGCACGCACGCACACATGGCAAACGCACCGATGGTCTCGGCGGCGCGGCGCAGGGACATGATGCGGGAGGAGGTGTCCTTGATGTCGAGATCAATGCGACGCGCGCCCTCATAGTCGCCCTTGCTCGCCAGCGCTGGCACACCCGACAGCGGACAATGCGATACACGCATGCACACAGGCGTGGTTTTTTGCGCGCGCGTACGTGTGTGTGCGTGTGTGTGTGTGCGTGCGTGTGTGTGCGTGCGTGCATGCGTGCGTGTGTGTGTGCGTGTGTGTGTGTGTGTGTGTGTGTGTGTGTGCATGTGTGTGTGTGTGTGCATGTGTGTGTGTGTGTGTATGTGCGTGTGTGTGAGGAAGGGGAATGACGGAAACATGAGCAGAAAAAACACGCCAACGAGGATTTAGATAAAGATGTAAACGACGATGGTCTCGCTGGCAACGCTGGACACACGTCGTGTTCCAACACAGATTAAGTGCTTACCCTTCATGAACTTGCGCTGCTGCTGCTCCTTTGTCTCCAGGGCGTCGGCAAGCTGGGCAATGTGCACCTGGTGCACGTTGTCTCCCTGGCATGTGATGGAGAGACACAGCGAACGATCGGTGAACACGCGGCGTGTTCATGACGCCCACGCCTCTTTGGTCGAAAGTCACACACGCACATACACACATGACGAATCGACCATGCAACAACAAATGCGTACCATCACCACACACACACACCTCCACACACACACCTCCACACACACACACACACACACACACACATACACAGTCGCGCGCGCACACACATATACACAGTCGCGCACCTCTGCCGTTGGCTTGACGCCTTCGCGGCAGATGCGAATGAGGGCGTCAACAGCATTCTCCTCCTGCAGTGGCGGCCACTCGCTCTCCGGCGCCTCGCCTTTCGTGTCGGCATCGCCGAGTCCGTCTGCACCGTGGAAGAAGCTTGCATCCTCAAGCGGCGCAACCAGCGGGGCAACAGCGCCTGCACAGACAGGTGTGCGTGTGTGTGCGTGTGGGTGGGTACGTGTGTGTGTGTGTGTGTGTGTGTGTGTGTGTGTGTGTGTGTGTGTGTCGCGGTGTACAGTCTGCCTCTTAGAACTGCCACATGGATCCGTAACGTCTACGAAACTGCAAAGGGTAGAGACCCAAGGTCAACGCGTGCACCGGCTGCCGAGAAGGACCTTCGGGGAGATGGTGATCTAGCTTGACAACTAATAGTCAACTTGTCAGGCAGTTGCTTAAAAGCCGTCGCGACGACGACGAGTGTGGTGTGTGTGTGTGTGGTGGGTGGTGTGTGTGTGTGTGTGTGTGTGTGTGTGTGTGTGTGTGTGTGTGTGTTCGCGGCATGAGTGAGTTGGCAATGCGTGTGTGCGTGTTTGTCAGTGGGGGTGATGGGTTTGCTACTTTCACGTTGCAGCAGCTAAGCTGAGCACAGGAAGCAAGGTTGTGTTCATCCCATGTTCAACACACAGGCATGATCACAAGTGCGGCTCAATGAACCTGCAAAGACGGGGATGTCGGTGCGACCGCACAGGGAGAGGACGCGTCGCACGTTGTGGATGACCTGATCGCGGTGGATGTTGCCGTTGACGCAGGTGATGGCAACGACATCCACGTTGGGGCAGTTCAGGCACATGAGAATGGCCTCCGTGTCATCCGTGCCTGCAATGAGTGGATTGCCATCATCAGCATACATAACAGTCGCAGACACGGAGACCGTGGTGGTGAATCGGTGATCTTGGAGCAAGCACGCAACAGCAACCCAGGTGCAGAGATGCTTAGCAGAGTTCATGGCTGACAAACAGCCCTCCACCCTGTCTTTTCCGCGCCCCCCACCCCAACCAAACACACCAGCATCGCAGTCGATGATCAGCTTGCGGCGAGCTCCGCCATTGCTGTTGACGCACACACACACACACACACACACACACACACACACACACACACACACACACACACACACACACACACACACACACACAGGGCAGGCGGAGGAAAAGACACACAACAGCAGCAAGCCATTGTCAGCAAGCCAGTGTCCGCAAAGCGAGTGTCAGCGAGCAGCAAGCCTTTCTCTTGAAATGCGTGTGAAGTGTGTTGTGTCGATCGTAGTTTCAAAACAAAGGCAACAACCATGAGCACGCCAAACACAGCGACGCTGGGCACACACCAGATGGTCTCGCAGAACTCGGCCCAAGACGAGGCGAGCACCTCCGGCACAGCATCGTTCGTGGACGTCATGGCTGGTGTGTCGGCTTGTGCCTTGGTGGTGATGGGTGCTGCTGTTGATTGAGACGGGGAGGGTGTTGGTTTGTCAGCGAGGTCTGTGCCAGTGGAGCCAGTTTGTGAGTACCTTTTGCTCGCTTGCGCTCAAACAACAAAAACAAAAGAAATATGGGTATGATTTATTACAATTTTCTGACGGACACCAAAGGCAACGATGATGCGCGTCGCTCCTGATCGCTTCGCATCGCTGGTTCGAGTGGTGGCGACTACAGAAGATGGACAAGAAGACGACGTGGTGGTGGAAGAGAGAGTGGTGACAGAAGACGTCGTCGCGGAAGAAGAGACAGTGGTGGGGGAGAGGATGCAGCAAGGAAGAAGACAAGGACACCAGGGTGAAGGAGAAGCAGAAACAGAAGCGAAAGAAGGACAAGAGCACGGGAGAAACGAAGTAGTAGTTGGCGGTGGTGATGGTTTTGACGACACAAGCGATGCACGAACAACCGCCACAGAGAGCAGCAAACACAGCAACAGCTGCGTGGATGGGATTTCACGAGAAGAAGTCGGGCTCGAGTGGCCAACACGACAGAGGGTCGAGCGTATCGCCTTTGACGGCGTATGGTGCAGTGTGGAGCTGTACGGCAACGACGGCTTCATCAAGAGCGTGCGGCACCCAGACCGCACGCACCGATATCGCGTGACAACCCCGCTGCGGACGGTGACCACAAAGCTGACCGCTGTGGTGGTTATGCTGGCCTCTGCGCCGCGCCGTGGGTGCCTGTTTGGGATTACCGTCACGGCAACGCCCATGGATGACGCGGATGCAGGTGGCCTGGCCGCCATGGCCGGCATGGGCATGGGCGGCAGTGTTGACTTTGCCCGTGTGAAGCACCTCCTGGCAGATACCAGCCTGACGCCGCAAGCATCGCATCTCCTGGCCATGGCCCAAGCCACGTCGTCATCGCCCTCACCCATGTTTGGAGATGCCCTGGGATCCATTGCTGCTTCTGCGATGCAGAGCCACCCCGCGCTTATGCAGCTCTTGCAGCAGCAGCAGCAGCAGCAGCAAGGCGGCAAGGTGAAGGGGGGAGGTCAGGACGACAAGCAAGGCAGTAACGTGCAGCAGTCCTCAGCAGCGACAGCGACACGAGCAAAGGATGCCACACACCAAGCAGCGCCGTCAGCACGGCAACAACAACAACAACAACAACAACAACAACAACAACAACAACAACAACAACAACAACAACAACAACAACAACAGCAGCAGCAGCAGCAGCAACAACAACAACAACAACAACTGGTGCCAGCACTGGATGTTGGTCTTCACGAGCGACTGGCGGCGCTTGAACGGCAACAGGCAGAGACAAACCGCTTGCTGCTGACCATCATCGATAACCAAACTACCCAAACGGTATTGTATGGTGTGTGTGTGTGTGTGTGTGTTGTGTGTGGTGCAATACGTTGTATTGTGATGCTGTCATGGCTGCGTGACGCCGTGACTGGCTGTTCATCAACACTGTTGTTGTTGTGTCTTTGTTTGTTTTCTTCTTCGTCCTGCTCATCTTTACGCCACACAAACGGACACATACATACACACACCACAGAGGCTATTCCAGCAATTCCTCGCTCTTGGATCACTCTTCAACAACCAGCTAGCAGCAAGCAGCCACCAATAATTGTTCCAATTGTTCCAACACACACACACACACACACACACACACACACACACACACACACACACTCTCTCTCTCTCTCTCTCTCTCTCTCTCTCTCTCTCTCGCGCACAAAGCGACTGAATTCAGTCATGTGCCTCTCGCACGCCAATTGGTTGGTATCATTGTAAAAGTTCTTACCAACGCTGACACACAACTTCGCCACTGGAAGGAGCGAGCGAAGCAAACGAACAGCACATTCCAACATCGCCATGGGGTCCACGACAACGGCTGGGCGCCACCTGCAGGCCTGACAGACAACGATGCACACAAACAGCGCAGCAACCACTCCTTCCTCTCCTGCGGGTGTGCTAGCTGGCTGGGGATCCATTCTGACTGTGAGGTGTTGTGTTTGTGTCGGCAACGCAGCAGCACCAGCACCCCAGAAACCAAGCGAGAGCGAGTGAGCGAACGAGCGAGTCGGCACCATCTCCTCCCAAAACCCCTCAAAGCTCAATACCCAAAGCTTCCTCCTTGTCACCAGACGAGCATCTCCCATTACCCGCAACACCATCCATCAGCTATCCAGCCTGAAGTGAACAGCTCCCGTCAAGAGTGTTGCTACGTCTCAACTCACCAAGGAAACCGGCAGCCCAAGTGCTGCGCCATGGACAATCGCTCTGTCAACAACAACAACGTCAACCGCGTGACGGTGTGTGTGCGTCTGTGTGTGTCTGTGTGTGTCTGTGTCTGTGTGTCTGTGTGTGTCTGTGTGCGTGTGTGTGTGTGTGTGTGTGTGTGTGTGTGTGTGTGTGTCTGTGTGCGTGTGTGTGTGTGTGTCTGTGTGTGTGTGTGTGTGTGTGTTGAGATCGCCCCATTTGGAGCAGTTGTTTCAGTCGAGTGTCATACACATGCCAGTCTTGGCAGCCACGTTCACAACACAACACGTCTCGCACTCATGGCTCACATAAACTGCCCCCCCCCCTCCCTACCTAACCCCCCCCCCCCTTTTTTTCTCACCTTGTTTTCGCCATTCAACGACACAGCACTTGCTGGTTGACTTTGAGAGCCATGCACAGGATGCAACCGTGGACGCGGAGGTTGGGCGCGACAGCGGGCAGCGCGCCCACGTCTCCCGACAGCAGAGCAAAGAGCACCTCCTGCACAAGGTGCACGCCAAGATGCTGAGCAGAAGCAAAATCACGGTGGAGGGCCAGCGCGTTCTTCTCTCCCAGGAAGAAGAAGAAACAAGCACCCACCAACACCAACACCAACACCAGCACCAGCACCAGCACCAGCAGAGACCTCACTTTGCACGAAAACTGCCGGCAGGCAGCCACATCAACAACAGCAGTGATGTTGATGCTGATGCAGGTCTTCCCAGCAACAACAAAGGCAGAAACTTTGAAGCTGATGTTGACGACAACGGCGATGACAGTGGTAACGAAGTCTACGACCTTCCCACAGTGCCGCTCGCTGACGCCGCCGTTGTCGACCCATTTGCCGTGCAAACCGCCCCGGTACCACAGCAGCAGCAGCAGCAAGAACACAGCCAAGGACGGCAACAAGGTACGGATGGTGGTGCGACAACACAGCCGCGTGACGGACCATATCTGGCCATTGGTGCGAGCTGCAACGCTACCCTGCAGAAGATGCGTGAGAGCAAGGCGACTGGCGAGTACATCAACGTCACACCAGGTACACAGACGCACAACACCGCAACCACCGCCACCACTGCGCCCTTGACACTTCGCGAACAGCTCCAGCGTGCAGTGGCAGCGGCAAACGCGCGCATGGCCAGGCAGGGCGAGTCACTGTACGACAACCTTGACAGCAGCAGCAGCAGCAGTAGTGATGACGACGACCACGACGACGACGAAGAGAAAAACGATGGATCTCACAGCAGTGCCCATGTCAACACAATCGCACACGATCACTGTACTTCCGCCCCACAACAACAACAACAACAACAGCAGCAGCAGCTGCTGCACCGCGTGTTGCATCAACAGGCGGCACCCTCGGTGGTGATGGGAACGAGACGCGTGTATGAGATTGAAGAGGACAACGATACGAGCGCCTCTGATGCCGACGACGAGCAAGAGACTGCCGACAACGACAACGACAACAATGATGTCGACGATGTCGAAGATGTCGACGATGATGAGGATGAGGATGACCCGATTTATGACAACCCCTTCTCTGACAGTTGCAAGGACGCGAACTTCACCACCACCACCAGCAGCAGCAGCACTAGCGCCGAGAGCAGCGCTACAGACCACCACCATCACCATCGCCACCACCACGGCCACTTTGAAGCAGCAACGCAGACAGAAACAGCGCAGGTCGTAACAACAACAACAACGACGACGAAGAAGAAGAAGAAGCTGGCAGCCAGGAACCGCAAGCGTCACAGCCTTCCGCACTATCCTCAGCACTCGTTGGCAGCAGCCATTGCGCAGAGACTGGAGGTGTCGAACAAGGCACAACAACCACAATCACCACCACCACCGCCACCACCATCAGCAGTGTCGACGCGACAGCGGCAGTTGCCACGTGCACACAAGGTTGGATATGACAACGTTGGTGATGCGAAGGACGGTGGACAGTGCAGTGATTCCGACAGCGGTGATGAGTGGTATCCACAGCACCAGGGCAGCGACACTGAACACGACGGTGGCATGGGAACTGGGTTGCAGAATGGGTTGCAGAATGAATACGTTCCACCGTCAACCATTGTCACTCCGCTCTTCACCGCCAACCACACCGGTGCGCAGCCCACAACAGCAAACAGCGCAGCCACAGCAGCTGTGTCATCGCATGCACGCACCCACTATCACCACCAACAACAGCAACAGCAGCAACAGCAACAGCAGCAACAGCAACAGCAGCAACAGCAGCAACAGCAGCAGCAACGAAGCACGAGGCAGGACAACACCTCCTCGCTCCTTTCGCACAAGCTGAAGGTTGCCATGAGCCCACCGCCCTCACCAGCAGCTCTTGGTAAACATGCCCACACCCAGCGCTACTTTGCAAGCACACACCAGCCAGCGTATGTGCCCGTGACAACACACAGCAGCGGCAATGACACACCCACAATGCAGGGCATCGCAGACGCTGTTGCAGCAGCGGAAGCAGAGGATACGTTTGACTGTGACGACTGCCATTATGACACGATTGCGTCATCACCATTCAGGCGCCGAAGCTCGGGCCTCATGCTCAACGGAGCACTCGCCGCGGACGCCCCACGACCAAGGTGGAATGGATATGTGTGTGTGTGCGGTCGTGTGTGCGGTCGTGTGTGTGTGTGTGTGTGTGTGTGTGTGTGTGTGTGTGTGTGTGTGTGTGTGTGTGTGTGTGTGTGTGTGTGTGTGTGTGCGGTCGTGTGTCGCTGTACGGAGAATTCATCGCCACATTGACACGCTCTCTCCACCAACACATACCCCCACCGCATTGTTTGTTGCCTTTCCCCCATTTTCAGGCAACAGTCGCGTGCTGGCGACTTGCATCGCCTCCGCCGCCAATCGCCCTCCCTCATGCACAAGAAGCACAAACCCCGAGCACGCCTTACAAGCGCTGGTACGCCGCGTCCATGCGTGTGCGCACGTGTGCGTGTGTCTGTGCCTGCGTCTATGTGTTTGTGTGTGTGTCTGTGTGTCTGTGTGTGTGTGTGTGTGTGTGTGTGTCTGTCTGTCTGTCTGTGTGTGTGTGTCTGCGTCTGCGTGTCTGTGTGTGTGGCATTCCACGCGCTGATAACGTATGACAGGCTTCACGCAAGCTCACACCAAACCTTCACCCGCACCTCCTGTTCGCTTATTTCCCCTTCCTTCTCGGCCTCGCAACAACCAGAGATTGAGGCCCTGACCATTTCGGATGCGACCACAGCCATGACATACTCCGCAATTTCGTTCTACCTCACAACCATCCACCAGCGCATCCTCACTCGCCGCCTCTTCACTCTCCCACACGACCAGTCCTGCCTCAGGTCGGGCACTGCTCGCTGCCAGGCGATCCGTGTGTGTGTGTGTGTGTGTGTGTGTGTGTGTGTGTGTGTGTGTGTGTGTGTGTGTGTGTGCGTATGTGTGTGTGTGTGTGTGTGTCTGTCTGTGTGTGTGTGTCTGTCTGTGTGTGTGTGTGAAAGGGCTTGGTGTGCGTGCATACACGTTCGCCAACGTGTTGTACGTGTACGCAAACCCATCATGACATCATTCCCCAGGAGAGGCACACTCATTTCGTTTCGTTTCCGATCATTCATGCACGAATGCAGGTGGCAGTCAGCAACGAAGCGCGGCACAGACAATCGCATTGCCATGTCGCACATCCAAGAAATCCGTTATGGTGCGGCCCCCAAGATGCCCGCTGCTTGGTTTTGAGGGCGTGTGTGTGTGTGTGTGTGTGTGTGTGTGTGTGTGTGTGTGTGTGTGTGTGTGTGTGTGTGTGTGTGTGTGTGTGTGTGTGTGTGTGTGTGTGTGTGTGTGTGTGTGTGTGTGTGTGTGTGTGTGTGTGTGTGTGTGTGTGACTCACTGCGTCATCCGCAGCGCTGACGCAGATACACACCACACACAATACCTCGCAACTCCCCAACCCCAACCCCACTCCTTCACTTGTTCATTCCACAGGTGTGACAGTCCAAGACACCATCGACACGTGCGGTGTTGTACTGACGCCCGCTCAGCGTGACCTTGCCTTCTGTCTCCTCTGTCGCCCACGCGATCATCCACCACCACCTCCGCCAAAGGCAACATCATCAAAACCGTCAACAGCACCAACAGCGGCAACGAGGGCGACTGGTGGTGATGCGAGTGCCGAAGCCGACGAGCTGCAACCGCTTCTCCTCATCGCAGAGAATCAAAAGGAGTACGCTGCGTTGTTGCCACACACACACACACACACACACACACACACACACACACACACACACACACACACACACACACACACACACACACACACACCAATATGATCGCAACGGTGTGCTTGGGGTGCGAGGTTGAATGTGAGATACGGATGTGGCATTCAGCCAAGCAAAGCCAAGCTGCTTGTGTGCATGCGTGTCTGTACCGAGCGTGTACCTGCGCCTCACCGTGTTTGCCATGTGTTTGCCACGTGTTTTGTTTGTTTCGCATTCAGGTTTGACATTTGGGTGGATGCCCTATCTCAGATTATCACGCGCTCCAAAGCCGTCTTCGCCTACATGCAGGTGTGTGTGTGTGTATGTGTGTGAGCGTGCATGTGTGTGAAGTGTGCATGTTGTGCGAGCCCATGCGCGTGCACGTGTGTGTGTGTGTGCGTTTCCTTCATGGTGATCACATTTGTTTGCTGCTTGTCCCAATCACACACACACACACATACACACATAGGCCGGCGCCACAATGACGTGCTGTCGTCTGCGGGAGAACACACGCATTCGTTACACGCTCAGCAAATGCAACACGCACCTGTGGTGAGGCAGTACTGCTGATGGCTGTGGTCGTCGTTGCTGTTGCTGTGGTCGTCGTTGCTGTTGCTGTGGTCGTCGTTGCTGTTGCTGTGGTCGTCGTTGCTGTTGCTGTGGTCGTCGTTGCTGATGGCTGTGGTCGTCGTTGCTGTTGCTGTGGTCGTCGTTGCTGTTGCTGTGGTCGTCGTTGCTGTTGCTGTGGTCGTCGTTGCTGTTGTCGTCGTTCGTGTCTGTGCACAGATGCAGCGTCAGTATCGCACACGATTGCATTCTGCTTGGTGCATTGCGGCTGTCCTGACCCTTCCATCCGTGTGTCTGCTGCGTGTGGCCGTGTTTTCTGCTTGGAATATTCCACCGCAGGTGGGAATCCCCTGCGTCGAAGAAGCGCAAGGTGCTCCAGCTGTCAACCGTCAAGTTTGTCCGCGTTGGGCAGGTGGGTGCACGCAACACACAGCACTCCTCATGCGAAGGAATAGAGCACTTGGCATGTGCGATGGTGGGGCAAATGCGAAGCAGCGTGGATGGCGAGCTTGTTCATGCCCGCGCACCGGTATGCAGCGTGTCTAGAGTTGCGTGTCAGACACATCGCACCGTTAGTCACATTCACATTTGCGTGCTGTGACATGTGGACCAACCAGGTGACGCCGTCGTTTCGGATGGCGAAGAATGCCCGCCAATTCGAGGCGTGGTCGTTCAGTCTCATCTTCGGTGACGGGCACCGCTCAGCGGAAACCCTCGACCTCATTGCCCACAGGTTTGCCGGCGGCTGTGTGTGTGTGGTCTGTCTGTGTGTATCTGTCTGTCTGTCTGTCTGTCTGTCTGTCTGTCTGCCTATGCGTGCGTGTGTGTATGTCTGTGTGTGTCTGTGTACATGCGTCTCTGTCTATATGTGCCTCTCCCTTAGCAGCCCTGCCTGTCTGTTTCGTTTTCTGTCTGCCCATGCACCCGTGTCTGTCCTCGACATCGATTGCTTTGGGTTTTCACCGCTAACGTCATGCGACACTGATGTGCCTGCAGGCAAGAGGACTTTGAGAACTGGGTCAACGGACTGCGCATGCTCATCGCGGGCGCTGATGAGTGGTGCGTTGTGCTGCGTTGTGCTGCGTTGCGACTGCTGGTTGTTGTTGTTGTTGTTGTTGTTGTATGATACAATGCACGTACAGCCGCATGGCAGCTGACATTCATTGCTCGTGTCATCCCCTCCCCCAAACCTCTGTTTGGCTGACTTTGTCGCATTTTCACAACAGCCAACGCAACATGCAAAATGGGACCCAAATGATCATGGTAAGGTGGTTCCTGCTGTCTCAAACTGCCTCCCCGAATGCAAGCACACACCATCACACCACGTCACAATCACCTGGACTTGTCCCGTTTTTCGTCATCATCATCACCACCACCACCACCACCATCGTCGTCGTCGTCATCGTTGTTCTTTCTCCAACATTCTGTTGTTGCTGTGATTGCCTTGGTACCTGCAGATCAAACCCAAGAGCGTACGCCAGTATACATTCTACCTCTCCAGCGGCATGGCACAAATCACGTGGGAGCCAAGCAAGAAGCCACCCATCCCAATTGCATCCATCAAGGAACTCAGAAAAGGTGCGCAGTGATGCTGTCAGGGCTGTGTGTATGTGAGCGGGGTGGACGTGGGGCGGGAGCGTTGATGAACTTGTATTTCAGCATTCATGTTCGACCGTACACCCACCCTCACAACGCACTTTAACGCACGCCCCCCCCCCCACACACACACACAACACACACACATACACACACACTCCCTCTCTCACATCCACACACACAATCAACTCCATCTTTGATTCGTTCTCAAAGGCCACAAGACGCCCGAGTTTCTTGCACGCGCAAACGAGTTTGAAGAGTCACGCTGTCTGTCCATCATCTATGGAGAGCAGTTCAAGGTCCACCAAGCGTGTTTTTGCCGTTGTGCGTATGTTTACATGAGTGTGCTGTTGTGTCAGCCTTGTGTGCTGTTGTGACTGTGTCATAGTGCCCTGCATGCCCTTTTTCCCCCTCTGTGGCACTCCAGTTACTTTCGACTGCTCACCCACATCTGCAATGCACTGTACGTTCTCTTTTGCTTTTCTTCTTCACGTCAGATGCTCAACCTTTACTGCCAGACAGACGACGACTACAATGATTGGTGTGTGTGTGTGTGTGTGTGTGTGTGGACTTGACACAGCAGTGCTGTCGTGTGCTGCTTGTGCTGCTTGCTGCTGTTTCTGCTGCTGTTAAATGCGTTGACACGTACATTGCGTTCTTGCTGTGTGGAAGCGATGCCTGATGTTTCTCACAATCAAGTTGTGCTGCGGTGTGGGCGAATGTGTTCAGGGTGACTGGCTTGGAGGACCTGTTGTTTGATGTGCAGGAGCAACCACGAAATGTATGTCGCATGCATTGCAGTGCCACACCATCTTTGGTGTGGTGTAATGTGATCGCTCCTGTGTGAGCACATGTGGAATGGACACAACGCAAGCTCATTGTCCTTCACACGCTGCAAACTACACGACACACTGCAACGTCCGCACTTGTCTGTTCTTTCTCGTGTTCAGCTCCAGGTTCCCTCTGAAGAGCAGCTGCGAACCCTCTTCAACCGCGTCGCAGGTCAGCAATGCCACTGCACACATACATATTGACCGATCAAAAGTGAATGCACACGAACATACATGAACATGTGCTCAGGTCGTGTGTATGTGTTGTATGTGTGTTGTGTGTGTTGTGTGTATTGCACGTGTCTGCAATACCACACCCACTCACACACCCATACAAACGCGCAACGACAACACACCCATACATGGTCGCACAATTTGCATGCTCACACACAATTCATCGCCGCCACCACGGGCGTTCCCTGAACCATTTGCGTGATGCAATGTCATGACGATTCTTCAGGCCGACACGCGTTTATGAAGACCCGTCAGGTGCTGCGTCTTCTCACGGAACTTGACGCCAACTACGCATCCAGTGTGAACCAGGAACGCACACGCGAGTTCATGGAAAAGCACGTGAGTTTGCATTGCAACTTGGGGTTGTTGCTGAGGTCGCTGGGCTGCGTGTGTGTGATATGTGTATGTGTGTGCGCGCGTGTGGTCACGAGAATATTCGTGATTGAAGCTGTCAATCACATTTTTGCGTTGTGTCATCTCGGCCATACCATGCACGCTCATCAACCCTACCCTCCCATGCTTGCGTTTACGCGTGCGTGCGTGCGTGCGTGTGTGTGTTTCACAGAACAAGAAGCTGGACGCTGAGGGCCTGATTACCCTTGTGCGCAAACTGTCCACACGCGCTGAGATTGTCGCGATCATGGAGAAATACGGCTTCTTCGACGAGTACACAAACACGTGGGGGATGGGCGTCGGGCACTTGCAGGAGTTCCTGATCCAGGTGCGCGCTCCTGTTGCGTTGGGCCCTTAGTGTGTTGTGGTGATGAATGGCTGTATGGTGCTGAGCTGTTACTACCTTGTGTCGTGAGGGCCCAGTTGCGTTGTGATTGCACTGCGCTATGTCTTGAAGTATGGAGCGTGTGGAACGTGTGGATGCGAAAGTACTCACACACCATATGGCCACGCATGTCCCTGTCGCCTGCATCTCTCTCCTTATCTCTCTTTCTCTCCCTCTCTCATGACACGATGGTCACGTCAAAACAGGAGCAGCGCGTGCCTGCAGAGGAGGCCACGCCTGCCATCTGCCTCGAGATCATTCAAGAGGTGAACACATGTGACCGCCACATCTGGAGGCGTGCATGGCCTGATAAAAGGGAGTGATACTGTGTAGAGTGTTTGGAGTCAACTTTTGCACACGAACAATGCAACTGCTCCAACATTTACCTCACTTTACCACACTTCTGCGTGTTCCCTTCACATACACACACGTTCATACGCGCTCACACACATACACACACACACACACCAGTTTGAGCCGGATCCGCCTGACACCGCTGTGGCCACGCGGCCATCGAGCCCACAGCAGTCGTCGTTGGCGCCAACAGCGAACCGCTTTGGGCGGCGGCGTTCATCGCAGATGGTGTCGCCGCCACGCGCGAAACTTGCTCTCTCGGAGGCAGGCTTTACCGCATTCATGCTCAGCGACCATGTGCGTGGTGTATGTGTGAATGTGTGTGTGTGTGTGTGTGTGGCGTGCGTGTGAGTGTGTGTTGTGTTCGTAATGTGTGTGTTTGTGTATCTTGTGTGTAACTTTAATGTGCGTATCGTGCACTTGACCTGTCTTTGTCTCTGTGTGCTTCCTGCACACATGTCAGCACCAGTGTCAGCCAATCTAAACGTTCACATGCACCTGCTTGTGGCTGCATGTGCACTCACACTGTTCAACACTACTCCCTCTTGACTCCCCACCCCCACGTATTCAGGGCGATTGCTTCGATCCCGTGGAAGAAAGCATCCACATGGACATGACGCAGCCGTTCAATCACTACTTCATTTCATCATCGCACAACACCTACCTCACTGCCGACCAGCTCAAGGTGAGCAACGCGAATGCCCGTGTGCAGTGTGGCACTGCTCAGCCCATTCCAACAACAACAACTTAAACAACAACAACAACTTAAACAACAACAACAACTTAAACAACTTCAACAAACCCACATCTTGCTTTTGTCGCTTGAATAGTGCGCTGTTGCCACTCCCTGCGTGTCGTGACGCATTCGTCACACCCTCTGGCTCACATCTCACTCACCGTCCGCTCACCTTTCACGCACGACACAGGGCCCCTCCTCTGTCGAAGCGTACATTCGCTGTCTGCTGCGCGGCTGCCGCTGTGTTGAGATTGACTGCTGGGACGGTCCAAACGGAGAGCCCATAATCTTCCACGGACACACCCTCACAGGCAAAATCCCCTTTCGGTCAGTGCGCGCGCAGTTGCATGTGCGTGAGTGTGTGTGAGTGAGTGAGTGTGTGTGTGTGCGTGAGTGAGAGAGAGTGAGTGTGTGTGTGTGTGTGCAGTTGCGTGTGTGTGTGTAATTTGTATGCTGTACAGTGTACGTGTGTTTTGTGAGTCATAGTGGACCTGCCTGCCTGCCTGCCTGCCTGCCTGGTGGCGCATCCTTGCACCCTCCCGTCCAATGAAGAACTCACGCCTTGGAGTTCCGACTCACGACTGTCTATGTGTGGGTGGCATGTGTTTGCTTGTGTACAGCGACGTCATCGTTGCCATCAACGACTATGCGTTTCGATCATCGCCCTACCCTGTCATCATCTCTGTTGAGAATCACTGCTCCCTCAAGCAGCAGCAATTCATGGCCCAATTCATGCGGGTGCGTCGTTTGTGTGCTCAAGCCTACATTGACGTGGCGTGTGTGACTGGTGACAACCGCTATGCCCGTGTACGTGTGCAGCAAGTCTGACGCTTGTGCTGCTGTTGTTGATGGCACACAAATTTCTGTTGTCTCTCTGGCCGCACACGCAGATCATTTTCCAGGACAAGCTGGTGGCTGATGTGGATCCAAACAACTTGGAACAGGTATCACAACACAAGCACATGTGTGTACGTTGGTGTGTATGTGCGTGCGTGTGTGTTTGTTTGTGTGTGTGTGTGTGCGTGTGTGAGTGAGTGTGTGTGTATGTGTGTGCGTGCGTGCGCGTGTGCGTGCGTTTGCAGGCGTGTACATGCACCAAACATTGCGTAGCGCTCAGTTGCCACTTGTTGTGCACCCAAACTGGTAATCCCAAACTGGTCATTCCCGCGTTCTTTTTCACTCACGCATACTCCCTGCCCGTATGACAACAGCTGCCGAGCCCAGAGGCGCTCAAGCACAAAATCCTCATCAAGTGCCATAAACCCATGGGCGTGTTCCACCGCAAGGTGAGCTGCTAAGTGTACGCTCGTGCATTGCAGTGCTTGTCTGCACCCTCAGCGTGTTTGAATCATCATCCAATACTAATCCATGTTTTGCGTTGGCGTGTGTGCGTGCGCACGCGCGTGTGTATGTGTGTGTGTGTACATGTGCGTGTATTCTTTTGTCCAGGTGATTGCGGCGTACGATGAGCAAGGCCTTCGTGATGACGGAACCACACTGCTTCCTGTGCGTTTGAATGATGGGTTTGCCCTTGTAGCATTGCGCACGTTGTTGTCTGCATTCTGCCTGTTCGGTAGTCCAGTGTCAACCAACCCACAAGCACAAGTGTTCACATGCACTCACCTCCTCCCCCCTCCACACACACACAAGCACACCCGCACAACACAACCGACTGTACTCACTCTGCGAACACGATCATTGCAGACGCTGGGCATGGACGCCATGTTTGCGAGCATCCCGCATCGTGGGCAGCAGGTCTCCTCCCGTACGGCCGAAGCTGTGGCGCGGCGTGCTCTTCGTCGCTCGTCCCAGCCAACATCCCCACCACCGTCGCCACGCGCCAGGCACCCACGTAGCAGCAGCGCAAGCGCAAGCGCATGCATTGGCGCTGGTGGTGATGATGGGGATGGCACAGGCAGCGTGTTTGATGGCGTCAGCGATATTGACACTGCTGTTCCCGATGCAGAGGAAGATGATGACGAGCTTGATGACGCTGGAACAGGTGGGATGTACACGCACTGCCGCCGACTTGTTTCCTGTGTGTGTGTGTGTGTGTGTGTGTGTGTGTGTGTGTGTGTGTGTGTGTGTGTGTGTTGTAGGTGTGTGTGTGTTGTATGTGTGTGTGTTGTGTGTGGTGAGTGTGTATGTTGTGTGTGTGTGTTGTGTGTTGTGTATGTCTAACGTGCACTTCCGTGTGCATGTACATCCTATGCGTATGTTATGTGCGAGGCACACATTGAACAATCACGTGCATTCACCACCAACCTTCCCAACCTCCTCCCCGCCCCCCTCCGCTGTCCACCTTCTGCAGGTGCCGAGGATCTGGATTACCTCAACGGTCTGCGCACCACCATGAGCAAAGACACAACGCTCAAGCAGCAAGGGTGCGACAACACCATATGCATGCACGCGAGCAGTGTTGTAGCTCATGGCATGTGTTCAAGACGACGCTTCGGCTTGGCGCTACTGCTCACCTGTTTTGTACACCCACATGATACGGTGCCCCCACCACCGCCACCTGCCTCCCCAATGCCTGGTTTGCGTGCAGGCGAGGAGAAATCAAAATGCACCAGGAGTTCACTGATCTCATCCAGTACACTGCGTCCACACCGACCTTTGAGGTGAGCCGCTGCTTGAATTGCGCGCGCGCGCGCGTGTGTGTGTGTGTGTGTGTGTGTGTGTGTGTGTGTGTGTGTGTGTGTGTGTGTGTGTGTGTGTGTGTGTGTGTGTGTGTGTGTGTGTGTGTGTGTGTGTGTGGGCATGCATATGTGTGTGTGTGCTCTTGTACGCGCGTACTTGTGATCATTGTTTTCGCACTGCCGCGTACATCCTGCTCATGATTGTACGACTGCACGTGTATCTGTTGTGTGTTTCGGTACCAGGGATTCCACCACGCGCTACTGTTCAACCGGTGCTGGACAATGACGTCGTTTGGCGAAAACAGGCTGGCTGCCCTCTCGGCCAACCCAACAACCGCACACGCGCTCGTGACCCTCTCCTGCGCGCAGAACACGCGAACATTCCCCGCCGGCACGCGCGTCAACTCGTCAAACTTTGATCCGCAGCAAATGTGGATTGCAGGTGCGATGGGCTGTTGTTTTGTCCTGCATGTATTGTGGTGCCATTGCACGCAACACACTTGAACCCACACACGCACCAAGCAGACACATGTCACGTACACATGCACAAAAACGCTCACACATCTGTGAATTGCAGGCTGCCAGATGGTTGCCCTGAACTGGCAGACGGAGGGAACACATATGCAGATCCACCACGGAAAATTCAGAGCAAATGGTGGCTGCGGTTTCCTTCTCAAACCGGCTTTCATGCGCAACCCAGACTTTGCATTCAACCCACACCTTATCCACGGTGCGTGCATGTGTTGTGTGGCTGTGCTGTGTTGAATTGTGCGTGTGTATAATCATGTGTGTGTGACATGGAAGTGTGATACCTGGGTTTGCAAGTGTGGCGTGCATCCTGTGTGCTTCTCATACTGTGACGACGGTGGATTGGGTGTGACCGTATTTGCTTCAACACCCATCAGCTTCGCATCTGCCAGGAAATGTGCCAGAATTTCTTGCTGTTCGCATCATCAGCGCCCAGTATCTCCCACGCTCAAAGGTCCGTCACTTGAGGCAGCTCTGATGCAAAAGCAGGTGCCTGCGTTAAATGCGTATGTGTACGTGTGTTTCGCCGTTTTCTTGCCAATGCCTGGCCTGACGTACCTGTCACCATGTTCAAGTTCGTCTCATCACCCTTCTCTCCCCACGTCTGCTCTCCCTCCCTCTCTCTCTCTCTCTCTCTCTTTTCAACCTCAACTCGCTACCTGCAGATTATTCGGCCGTTTGTGAGTGTGGAGATTCTTGGACTTCCACACGACTCTGCAACCCAGAGAACCGACATCAAATCAGAGGTGTGTTCGTCTCTGTGCGTGTGTGTGTGTGTGTGTGAAGTAGAAGGAAGGAAATGGGTGAAATCATGTCGCGGAGCATCAATCTCATTTTAAGCGCGCCACAATCACACTCATGACGTACGCAGGGATTTGCGCCTTGGTGGAATGAACAATTTGGCTTCAACGTGCTGTGCCCGGAGCTGACCCTTGTCAGGTTCATCGTGCGGGTGAGAACAGCCACCCTTCACCCCACACACACAAACACGACACACACACAAACACGAGACACACACGCATACACACACATACACACGCATACACACGCATACACACATGCACGAAGGCAATCGTCAGCGTGGAAGCTCATGATTGTACTGTTGTGACCTCCCCCCCCCCCCCAATTTCTTTTCCCCTCTTCTGTATGCACCCCGCAGGACCATCGTGGAAAGATCAACTCCCCTGGGTTTGTTGGCGAGGCCACTGTCCCACTTGTTGCCCTTCGGCAAGGTAAGGAACAAGCATATGTTTGGGCAGGCACACCCACACGCTGCTCATCAGCTACAATGTTTGCATGGTTCCTCAGGTGGTGTTTTGGTGGTAATCTTGATGACAGTTTCTTCCGCGTGACGAACACGTGAACGTCAGCGACAACTGCTCGCCCCTCACCTCAATGTCGCCATGCTTGCATGCACGGCCCACAGGTTACCGTCACATTCGGCTGTACAGCTTCAGCGGGGAACCGCTCTCTGCAACGCTCTTTGTCCACGCCTCCCGTCAGGTGCGAGGAAGTGTATCATTGGATTCCATTCGTGCAATCGCAAAACTCGTGCGTCGCATTTCATCTGGCAGCGAGCGCTCACAGCTCTGCATATGTGTGCGTGTGTGCGTGTGCGTGTATGTTTGTGTTTGTGTGTGTGTGTGTGAATGAATGTGTGTGTATGTGTGGGCATCGATGCTTGATTTGCCTTGCTGCTTGTGCAGGCGGGCATGCTTCGAAGCGAGACGCATCTTGGGCGTCTACCAAAGCCACCGTCATACACGCAGCGCGACAAGGCATACCCACAAGTGAAGCTGCCTGGTTTTGGCGACAAGAGCATTGATCGCAAGAGCAAGGCTGTCGTTCGTGTGTTTCGAAAGCTCATCGCTCTCCACCAAGACGTACGTGACTTGACAGCACACGTGTGTGCGTGTGTTTGTGTGTTTGTGTGTGTGTGTGTGTGTGTGTGTGTGTGTGCGTGTGTGCGTGTGTGTGTGAACGTACGTGTATGTGTGGACATACGCGTGTGTGTGTGTGTGCATATGGATGTGGGTAGACGGACGTACGTTTGTGTTGAGACGGTACGTGCATTCGTGCCTGTGCATTTCGCTGTCGATTTCGTTGTGTGTGCTCTGACTCATCTTCCTCAACTGCTGCTCCTCTGCAGATGCTGGAGATGCGAGAGAAGAAGCTTGACTTGGTGCCGCAGGGTGAAGCAGAGCATGCAAGCAAGGCGCCTACGTCACAGGCAACGAGGTGAGGAGAGGGGCAGCTTGCACACATGGCGGTATCGAGAGTGTCCATGTGTCCATGTGTGTGTGTGTGTCTGCGTGTGTGTGTGTGTGTGTGTGTGTGTGTGTGTGTGTGTGTGTGTGTGTGTGTGTGTGTGTGTGCCTGCATGTCTGTCTTTCCTCTCACTCCATGCTCACCTCTCTTTCCATCACACACTCGCGTGCAGATTGGCGCTAGCCTGTGATGCCACTGCTGGCACAAGCGAATAGCGCTCCTTCTTGAGTCCTCCCAAAGTCCTTCCTCTTGCTCTTCTGTGGGTTTCTGTTTCTCGCACTTTCCTCCTCCTTCTTCTTCAAACACAAACAAAACACCACCCAAGATGGCAGTGGCTCGCTCCCCGCTGCGGAGACGTTGTTATTCATTTTCTCCTGCTGCTTCTTCTGTTTCTTCTTCTTCTTCTTCTGTTGTGCTTGCTGTTGTGGCGGTGGTCCCGCTGCTCGCTTTAGCTGTTGGTGTGCCACCACCTGTTGTACATGCCAGTGGAACTGGTGGCGATGTTGGCATCCTGTATGAAGTGTGGCACACGCGTGCCGCACAGGCCATGAAGAAAGTGGGTTCTGTGTTGTGTGAAACAACTGACTGGCAGTGACGACATTGGGTGCGTGGGTGCGTGGGTGCGTAGTGTGTGAGGCTGACAATCAGCTGTGGGGTTGAACGGCACACACACACACATATGCATGCGCCCACACACACACACACACACACACACACACACACACACACACACACACACACACACACACACACACACACACACTTGCATGCGCCGACCAAATAGGTGCGGCAACTTGGAGGCACGCAGCTGACCACGGAACTGGTGCTTCGAAGCAACGGCTCACTGACACTGGACGACGTGTACACCAAGTACAACATGAGCGCTGACATCTATAACGTGCAACCACAGCTTGGCTTCTACTGCCTGTACCGTAAACGGCCCAACGACACCAACCCACCTGTGGACGACTGCGACAACATCACGCACGTAAGCCCTGTCAACAAGTTCCCTGTTCTTCCTTGCTTGTGAGCGCCCTCTTGTGCGTGGCACTGCTTCAGCAAAAGGGCAGCGCTGTCTCTTGCCATACCCTCCATACTCTGTACAACTGGCGACCACGCGCTCACCCTTGACACACACACACACACACACACACACACACACACACACACACACACACACACACAGACGGCGAGCGTGCACGCCAAGCTGCTGGTGCAAGCGCACGTCGACTATGTGGCCGTGGATGTGACCAACTGGCCGTCCTTCAACACGGAGACGGACATTGCTGTGATCCGGCCAACGGAGGTGCTGTTTGAGGAGTGGCTTGCTTTGCGCAAACAGGGCCAGCCCACGCCACAGATTGCCATCTGGGTGTGCAGCCCAAGCAACTCCACAACCTGGCGGTACATGCTGCAACACATCTACAACAACCCGCGCTATGCGGAGCTCGTGTACAAGCGCGACGGCAAGATGGCTTTCTTCCTCCCATACCGCCCGGGCTCCTGCTACAGCGCCAGCGAGGAGGCGCTCATACAGAGCAACTTTGGCGGCAACAACGTCACCACCATCAAGATGTGGGCGCTGTTTGGCGCCGACACATACACGCAGGACGTCTGGGGCTTCTTTTCGCCGTGCGTGTCGCAGCGCACAGGCAAATACACCTCGTCCATGGTCGGAGAGGGCGACTGCAACCAGTACCCCACGACCACAGGCGCCAGCGGGCCCGTGCAGGAGGTCACGGCCTCTGGTTCGTACATGCTGAGCGAGACGGCGCTCCCCTTTGCGTCGCCCGGCCACATGCGCGGCCTCACCCTGCAGCGGCTGTTCAAGAAGGTGCTGTCGCAGCGCGCGCCAAGCCTCTTCCTCTCGTCCTTCAACGAGCACATTGGCGGGCGCCAGGCACCGTCGTCACCGGCCAAGATTGCGTTCAACATGGGTCTGCCCAACGACCCGCAGCGCAACGCAGTGTGGGTTGACACCTACGGCAGCGAGTTCAGCCGCGACGTGGAGCCCACGGTGGAAGGCGGTGCGCGCACATACCAGGTGCTGGTGGCGTGTGTTGCCTTGTACAAGGCAGGGCAGACGTGCGCGAATGAGCCCACCTCCATCTGCTGCACCACCGCCGACAAGGAGGTGTGGACCAACGTGTGGTCACTCGCCAACCCGCAGGCCACAGACGCCCTTGTCACCGCCAGTGAGAATGAGCGTGACACGCTGGTGCAGCAGGGGTGGAAGGAGGTGTGCACCCCAATTCCGGGGCCGTCGGTCTTCTGCGTGGAGGCGAACAACCACGATGGGCGTGACGGGCCGTTCATGCTGTACAACGCGGCGCAGCCAAACAACAGCACAAAGCCCATCTACCGCTGCTACAACGCCACCCAAGGCCTGCACCTGATCAGCGATGACCCAAAGTGTGAGGGCTTAGGCGCCATGGAGATGCTGCTCGGTTACGCGTCACGTGGACCAGGTGGCGAGACGTTGCGCGCGCTGCGGCGTTGTCGCTCCGCTGCGTCCCCAGCGCTCTCGCACGCGCTTGATCTCGCCTGCGACCACAATGACAGCCACGTCCTTGGCTTTGTCCGCTAGTGCCGCGGTGAGTGTGTGCGCGTGTGCGCGTGTGCGTGTGTGTGTGTGTGTGTGTGTGTGTGTGTGTGTGTGTGTGTGTGTGTGTGTATGTGTGTGTGTGTGTTCGAAGCGCTGTTGATCATGCCCTTCGCTCAGGCGGTCTCGCAGCTGATGGCTGCGTTATTTCGGCTGCTTCCTTCCTTCCTTTCTTCCTTCCTTTCTTCCTTCCTTCCTTCCTTCCTTCCTTCCTTCCTTCCTTTCTTCCTTCCTTCCTTCCTTCCTTCCTTCCTTCCTTCCTTCCTTATTTCCACTTTGTCTCTTGCCTTTTTCCCTTCCCCCACCTCCTCCTTCACACGCGTGATCTTTGAGCGGCGCATCAGAAGCTGCCCTGGGCACTGGTTCAGGTGAACCCGACGTTCACCATGCTCGGTGGCCGCTTCGGTGTGGTGTTGCTGTTACGCTTCACGCGAATACCGTTCACCACAGGGTTGTGATTGGAGTTCGGGTGCTGTCGGCTCTATTGTCTCATCTGACATGCACTTTAGAGCCAGTCGTACACTCTTCCCACACCCGCATGCACCACAACCACAGGCACCCTTTGCACGCATGCTACAATGCAAAGACAAATGAATGTCCTCACATCACACAACCACACACGCACAAACGCATGTACACTACAGGTTCTACATGCTGCTCACGACGCTGATGATGATGATGCTCATGTTAATCATGATGGTGATCATGATTTGGTTGCATTATTTCGTCCCTGATTTGCCTGTTTGTTTGCCTGTGTTATCCTTCCTCCCTTCCTCCCAATCCCTCCTTCCTTGCCTGCTTTGCCTCCCTCCCACTCCCGTGTGCTCCCCCAAGATGAACAACGCAAGCGAAAGAGAGTGATGTGACATGTCTTGTAACGTGTTGACACACCCAAAGCGCTCAAACAAGCAAGCAAACAAAGCAACAAGAAGTGTCAGTGCCACCGCACAAAACCACGCAATTCTCGCGCGAAAAAACAGACGACACAACACCGCTTACAGACAACCCCCTTTGTGCCCGCATCCACCACTGCTTGCTTGTTTCTCGACGACGACAATGACGTCTGTGAGCCTCGAGGGCCGTGTTCAGGCCGTGCTACGCCGTGCCCTAGGCGAAGCTGTTGTTGAGCGCCTCGGTGTGGAGGCTGTGCAGGTCATCCAACAGGAGCTGGCCCAGGTTGTGGACGAATGCGTCGCCACGCAAGTTGCACTGCTCACGGCACCCCGCACACGTGCGGACAGCACAGACGCCAACAAGGACAGCCAGGCAAAGGCCATCGACACAGCCACCTCAGACGCCGCTGCTGCTGGAGATGATGAGCACGATGGCGCTGCTGTCGTTGCCGAGCCCACGGCAGCCGCGGTCAGCAAGACCAAGAAGAAGAGGCAGCGCCGGCGCAGGAAGAACAAGGGCGCAGATGCCGACGCAGCAACAGACACGGCGGTCGACACCAGAACCACGACCGCTGGACTTACAGTGACTGACGAGGATGCCCCCGCTGCTGTTGCGGACACCACCGCTTCTACACCAACAGCGACCAAACAAGAGGACATGCCTCAGCAGCAGCAGCAGCAGCAGCAGCCCGCTGCATCCACCAAGGTGTCCGCTGCCGACGCAGACGCAAACCCGAGTGGTGAGGCCGATACAACAACCCCTATGCCGGCTCCCGAGGCGACTGCGAACAAGCCTGATACAGCTATGGCCACCAGCGCAAAACCCCAGCGCAAGCAAGGTCGCCGCAACCGCAACCGCAACCGCAACCGCAACCGCAACAACACCAGCAGCAACAAGCCAAGCGCCAGCGAGCGTGCTGTCGAAGCTGAAGCTCCCACGTCTTCCAAACAACAGGAGCAGCAGCAGCAACCGCCCACATCCACAGCACCACCATGTGTCGATGAGACAAACACCACCGCAACCGCCACCACCGAAAGTACTGATGCGAACGAGACGGATGCAGCGCCTGCGCCTGCGACACCGGCATCGGCAGAGACAACTGAGCCGCAACAAGACCCCAAGGCCGAGCTGCTGGAGCAACTACAGCAGCTGAAGGCGTGCGAGAACGCTGTTGCCGCAGCCAACGCCCTGGCGTCCTTGTGCGCGCAGGTGGCCAACAACGACAAGCACTGCGCCATTGCCAGCAAGATGGGTGCTGTGGAAGCAACCCTGGATGCCCTGCAGGCATTTGAGGGTGCCGGTGCCGTGCGCGTGCAAGCGCTGCACGTGCTGCAGGCACTGCTGACCATACGCACCGGCCGTGACCGCATTGCCGCACATACCCGCGGCATTGACACGCTGCTGGCGTTCCAGCGCAGCAGCAACAGCGTGCAGCGCCTGGCTGCCACCTCCCTCTTGCTCCGCCTCACCAGCATCCAGCGCCTGGTCCCTGTGCTTGGCCGCAAGGGTGCCATGCAGAGCACAGCCGATGCCCTCCTCGCCACCAAGGGCAACCATCCCGACATGCAGGAGACGTGCCTGGTGCTGCTTGCGCGCCTCGCCAACGTTGGCGGCGGCTCCGGCGCGATGGCACGCGGCCCTGCCCCTGTCGGCACGGTGCGGCAGTGGCCTGCGGTGCTTAGGGCGGCAACTTCAGCTATGGACGCCAGCCCAGAGCGCGTGCAAACGCAGGAGGCTGGCGTTGCTTTGTTGCGGTTCTTTGACCGCAGCTTGGGCACCGCCGTACGCCCCGTCATCTCTGCGCTTCTGCACCATCCAAACAATCGCATCATCCAGGAGCACACGTCTGCTTATCTGTGCAATGCCCTGCAAACGAAGAACAACACCCAGCTGCGGGCTGGCCTGATCAAGACAAATGTTGTCTCGAAGCTCCTGTCGTTATGGCTTCTGCCCCAGCAACAACACGAACAACATGAGCAGGGGGAGGAGAAGACAGCAGGCGCGGATAGCGCCGCTTCCTCGGGCTCCAGGCGCCGTGGCACGCGTGGCAGGCGTCGCAACAACACCAGCAACACCAACAACGCCAACAGCAGTCAGGTCAAGAACATCGGTGCGCGGACTGCACTGGTTTCCAGTATCATGTTGAATCTGGCGTTGATTGTGCAGCGGTACGGGGAGGAAGACCTGACGCACCCCATCTTCGCGCCAGAAGTGATCGCGGGTGTCCTGCTGCACATGCAGCGGCACCGGGCCTCCACCGCTGTGCAGCAGGAGGGCCTGCGCCTGCTCGCTGCCGTCACCCGCCCCCAGCGCGGAACACCAACGCAGCGCGCGCGGGCGGCGGCGCTTGCCCTGTTGGACGGCAATGGCGACGGTGTGCGGGTCGTCACAGCGGCCATGCAGGCCACAGCGGCGCACGCGGATGCCCAGCTGTTTGCATGCCGGCTCCTGCTGAACCTCATGGACGCTGTTCGCGGCAACCGCAGCACAGCCGCTGCCGCCTTGCTCACCCCAGAGCTGGCCCGCTGCTGCGTTGCCGCCATCAACAAGCACACGCACGTCAAGCCCCTTGTCCGTGCCGCGTGCACGCTTCTCTCCCGCGCCGTCGCCCCACCAGCAGCGCCACAGCACGGCAAGCCTGGTGCCAAGGGCGCAAAGGAAGGCGCAACAGCCCACAATGCAACTGCCAGCACCAGCACCAGCGCTTCAACGAGTGCAGGCGCAAGTGCAGATACGAGCGCAGCATCAAGTGCCCCCGGCACGCCGCCGCCGCTGACATCTGTTGAGGAGACGCTGCTGTCGCTCAAGAACTTTGAGGCCGTCAACGCCGCCATGCACGCGCTGCAGAGCGCAGACAAGGACTCTGCCATCCAGGCCAATGCCGTGGCGCTGCTGCTGCTCCTGTGCAAGACGCAGGCCGCTGTCCACGCCGTGTCCACGCACCGCGCGCTGCCTGCCCTGCTGGCCACGCTGCAGCAGCACCTCAAGGACCGCGCCCGCCGCGCCACTGCATCGCAGCTGCTGTTGGCCATTGCCGAGCACGGCCGCCCCACCGCCGTCATGCAGGCAGGCGGCCTGCGTATCCTGTGCGACATGCTGCTGCAGCGCGAGCACCACCCGCGTGCTGGCGCTCGTGGTGGTCCTGGTGCTGGCGGCGCAGGTGCTGGCGTGTCCCACGCCACGCACACGAGCCTGCGCGCACTCGCTGCGCTGTGTGCAGACAAGCGGTGCGTGCAGCACCCGCTGTTCAAGGAGGCGATTCTGCCGGCCGTGCTTCGGCTGCTGGAGCGCCACCCGCAGGACAGCAGCGTGCAGGAGCAAGGCCTGGCCGTGCTGCGCGATGCAGACGGCCTGCCGCGCAGCGAGGTGCTTGACCTCGTGCTCAGGGCCATGGAGACACACCCGACACACTCCGGGGTGCAGGCAAGCGCGTGCGGTGTTGTGCGCAACCTTGCCCTCCACGCCACAGATGAGCTTGCAGGCAAGGCGGTGGTTGGCGATGTGGTGGCAGCGCTTGTGCAGCACCAGCAGCACGCCGGCGTTGCGGAGCAAGCGTGCGGTGCGCTGTGCAACCTGGCCGTGAGCCGGAGCTGCCGCCGCAGGATTGCGCGGGTCAAGGGCCTGCCATTGATTATGGAGACGATGCGCGGCCATCGCGCCACAGCCGCTGTGCAGGAGCACGGGTGCCGGGCGCTGTGGAACATGGCGGTGGAGCCCGAAAACCAGCAGGAGCTGGGGCTCAGCGGCGGGATTGGCGAGATTGTGGACGCCATGCTGGCCCACCCGCGCAACGAGGCTGTGCAGGAGGCGGCCTGCGGCGCCCTGGGCAACCTGGCGCTCAACGACAGCAACAAGATCCGGCTTGGCACCAGCCGCACCACGAACGCACTCGCTGCTGCGCGCAGCACGTTTGGCGACAACGCCGTCATTGGCAAGCAGGTGGATGCGCTGCTCACGGACGTCCCAATCGACGTGGACCAGCAGCAGTGACGTGTGAATGCATGCAAATGTGTGTGTATGTGTGTGAGAATGCGTGTGTTGACCCTCGACTGCTGACCTTTGCATGTGTATCTGTGTGTGCCAGTGTCTGCTGTTTGCTGTTTGTGTTTGGCCGTCTTTTTCCTCAGCAAGCTATGGGCTCGTTCCTCTGACAATGTTAGTTCTCTGTGTGTGTGTGTGGTTTTTTTTTTTTCTTCATTGGTGTTGTTGACGTTTGGCTGTTAACTTCATTCGTGTTCACACAGTGTGAACAAAGCAAAGATATGCAAAAAGATACATACAAGTGCATCCGATATAGCTGTCAGCAAACTCAAAACGGCCAGCGTGTGGGGGGGGTGCGAGTTGGCGACACACAAAAACAAAACACACATGCATACGTATGCGTGAGTGGAGCTGGGTGTGCATGTGTGACGATATTAGTTGCGCAGCTGCTGTTGTCAGCCCAACAACACACACTTCAGCGTGCGTGCGCGTGGGTGGATCGGTGTCCTCCTATGATACGTGTCCACACAACACGCACTTCCTCGTCGCAACACGTTTGTCATCGCCATCATCGTCATGAAAGGCGTAAGTCAACGAGCACTCTGGTAACGGACACAACCGATCTTCAAATGATGCGTCACCTTCATGCCCATCATCATCGATGTTGCTGTTATCGTTGTTGTCACCGCCATCCTGGGCGGTGGTTTGAGCTGTGCCGCGGCTGGCTGGTGGCCTTCCTCCTCGCTTTGTGTTCATCTCGGATGAGCAGCGGGTACAGCGACACACAAACCTGAACCCACCATGCATTTGGGGAGGGTGAGGGCACATGCGCAAGTGTGCGAGCATGTGTTGTCATGCAGAGGATCGTCCACACACACACACACACACAGTAGGCAAGCGAGAAGAGCTGATACATGCACACACATATGCACACACACACACAGTAGGCAAGCGAGAAGAGCTGATACATGCACACACATATGCACACACACATACAGTAGGCAAGCGAGAAGAGCTGATACATGCACACACATATGCACACACACATACAGTAGGCAAGCGAGAAGAGCTGATACATGCACACACATATGCACACACACATACAGTAGGCAAGCGAGAAGAGCTGATACATGCACACACATATGCACACACACATACAGTAGGCAAGCGAGAAGAGCTGATACATGCACACACATATGCACACACACACAAACACACACATGCACACACACACATGCACACACACACATGCACACACACACCCGATAGTTTGGGTGAGGTGAGCCTGGCGGGCGTTGACATTGTCGCAACAGCGCGTGTATGTGATGAAAATCTGTTCACCAGGCTTGACTGCACAGAGCGTGATGGAAACGGGCAAGAACTTGTCAGTCAGATGAGATCATGTGATGACTTCACAGGGAGAGGTAAACTTGCAAACCGCTTGGCAGCAAGCATGTGCTCACGTACAATATGACAAATGAGGGTGTGAAGCGTGCAAGGCAAGTGGTGTTTGAGCTACAACGCACCATTCTTGAGCGCACGGAGATGCAAGCGAACGGGCTGACCCTCGATCCCATCATGTTCATCCAGCCGTGTTGTAGTAATCGAGACACGCGGTGGGTCGCAGCTGTGATTGCACAGATGCACGTGTCTTGTCGCAATAACTGTGGCAATCTGTGAG